TATCCGTCAAAATCATTTGGCATTGGTCATAGCTCAAGCATGTGGCATTGTCATAGCTCAAAAACTTGTGCTTGATTGGAGGTTAAAAATTACAGCGGGTATTATGGAAGCCCGCCGTCGCTATTCATTAAGGCGGAAACCTTGTGTACCGAATCAGACGCAGGCCGCGGCTCGATGTACAAAAGCCCACATGATCTGAATACAAATCAGATGTATAAAAATTACGTTGCTAGCTGGAATCGAACTCGGGTATTCTGGATTAATAGTAGTGAAGATGTACTGCTCAGGTCACTGCTTAAATCCGCTTTTGAAGAAGACCCTTTATATAGGGTATTCTACAGACTATTTCACGGAGGGGTTTAGTGCCGCCATGTAGGGCTCTTGGCCTTTGTGTTCTGCATCTGTAACAGCTAAGCGAACCATGTTACGGTAGTCGCGTACGCATGAAAACGATTGAGTTGGTGCATACAGTGTCTCATGGCCTTTTAGTTCACATCACAATATACAAAAACAAGCCCCGCCGCGGTGGTCTAGTGGCTAAGATACTCGGCTGCTGACCCGCAGGTCGCGGGTTCGTATCCCGGATGTGGCGGCTGCATTTCCGATGGAGGCGGAAATGTTGTAGGCCCGTGTGCTCAGATTTGGGTGCACGTTAAAGAACCCCAGGTGGTCGAAATTTCCAAAGCCCTCCACTACGGCGTCTCTCATAATCAAATGGTGGTTTTGGGACTTTAAACCCCACATATCAATCAATCAATATACAAAAACAACGCAAAATCGACTTATCAGCCCAGGATGGCGGCGTGCCTGAGGTAGAATAAACTATCCAGTCGTCATATTGGGTGAGGAGTCGGGTGAAATGACGTGACAGAAGCTTAGAATCGCGCCCGGCGTCACACCACATGAATGGTGCAGTGAGTGGGAGATTAAAACTCACTAGGACGTGCTGTTGAGCTAGTTGGTTCGGGCTAAGGAAAGGTTAAGAACCCAGCCCTCGTAGAGGAAACAATGAAGAAGGGACACAGGATAGAGCGTCATCTTGCAAGATGACGTTCTGTCTTCTCCTCTTTTTCTTTTTTTTTTGTTTCGTCTACGGAGGGGGGGGGGGGGAGGTTTGCGTTCTTAACTTCTCTTCAGGGTTATTGAAAGCTGCCTACATATTAAAAGGAGCTGAGCTATAATTCATCATCACGATGTGCAGCATGACCATATGTCTAATCTAGGTATACCGCATGGACGATAAGAAAAACGAGAAGCAGACGACGTGGTATACCTAGATCATGAATAACCACCACCTTGCCCCTTGGTTCACTTTTATTAGTCAACTTCTTGCGCGCATCGACAACAGCCAAATGTCTGTGGACACTATTCTTTCAAGTGCCCGAGAGAGGACATTGCAACAGAAGGCGACAAAAGCACTGTTGAAATTCCTACGCTACACGGACTTGCCACAAGCGGCTGTAACAGCAATGTCACACACCACGAAAGACAAGACTGGACTATGACTGAGTGTGCGCACGTGTGCTGCCTAATGTGATGTCTTTATCGCTCTTCACTCTCTCCTCTCTATCCTTCATCTCCCAATCCCCCTCCAATGCGCAGGGTAGCAAACCGGCTGCCTAAAGGCTGGTTAGCCTCCCAGCCGTTTTTTTCCTCCTATTTTCCTTCCTTCCTTGATTAGTCAACACGGGCGTTCGCGTCACTCGGCCCACAGTCGCATGGCCACCTGCGTGCCTTGTCGAAAACGCAGATGATCCAAGGCAGCCTCCAATAACCAAGATCTCCTAGGAGACAAGACAAGACAAGACAATTAAAAGCAAGCGAAGTGTGCGAGGAGGTGCCAAAGAACGGGAAATTTTCTTCGGCTTGATGTATCTTAATAATTATATGTGAGATTTAACGTGCCAATACCGGGATATGATATTGAAGCACCTGCTGGACCTCGTCCCGAATAATATTGGTGATGCTGCTTACCTCCGGCTGTCTCGCCCCGTGTAGTTTCGCGATTTCCTCGCGGACGACGGAGCGGACGATTTCGCGAATCCACTCAATGCTGTTGCTCCCGAAGCTGGCGGAAAATTCAGTAGGTGATGCAGAATTCACTTGCCGGTTGAGTAGGGCTGACCGCTGATGAAGTACCCTCTCCATCGTAGTGGCTTCGGTCAGGAATTCTGCTACACTCTTCGGAGGACTCCGCACTAGACCAGCAAAAAGCTGCTCCTTCACGCCTCGCATCAGATAGCGTAGCTTTTTTTCTTCTGGCATTGCCGGATCCGCTCGCCTGAAAAGCTGCGTCATGTCCTCCACGTACATGGTGACGGTCTCATTAGGCATCTGGATGCGTGAATGCAATGCACGTTCAGCACGATCGCGGCGGTCGGGGCTCCGGTAGGTCTCCAAGAGGCGATGCTGGAACTCGCGCCAGGATGTCAAGACATCACTTCTGTTCATGAACCACGTTCGGGCGCCGTCTTTCAAACACGCGTAGACGTTGCGGAGTTTGGCGGCTTCGTCCCAGTAGTTGATCGCTGCGACGTGTTCGAACTCGCTCAGCCAGTCGTCCACATCCTCAAACAGCTCTCCGTGAAAGGGACTAGGCATCAGCGGGTTCTGGACAGTGCAATAAATTGGTGCCGACGACGTAGGAGTTTCCATGACGCCTTGAGGCGAAGTCATAGTCGCTCTATGGATAAGCTGTGCCGGTGTCTCTGGTGGTAGGCCTCGTTGGCGGCGGCTTGTTCTGTGAACTGGCGTGTCCACGGGCACAGGGCTTGTGTTCCGGCTCCTGGATGGGCTCTTGTGCATGGGGTGCGTCGTCAGTTGTCGTACCCAGCAGCTCCACCAATCTTGTCACCAATCTTGTCTCACTCAAGGAAACCTTCCGCAGAACTGCTCGTCAAGCTAGGACAAAAAGAAAAACTGCTCCAACCCAACCTCTTCGTCTTCTTCCACACGAAAACCACGCGAATTCATGCGGCATTAAAAAGCGGCTCAATCCCAACCTCTTCGTCCTCTTCCACACGAAAACCACGCGAATTCATGCGGCATTCATGAGGGACACCTGAGTTGAGTGCTCCGGAAATTTCAACCATCTGGAATTCTTTAACGTGGATTGACATTAGATGTTGCACCGAACCTATTAACGGGTTTATGCGCTACCATAGTAGAGTACCTGTTACTCTAAATTGTTGCCCACTTTTTCTAAACGCATTTCGACTCTTCCGAAATGCGACCGCCGAGGCCGGGGTCGAACCCGCGACTTTCGGGTCTGCAGCTGAGCTCTGTAACCGCTACAGCTTCGATATCTCTTAGTGAAGACCTAATGAACCTGCTGATATTTACTGGTTGTTTTAATTTCATGCCGAAATCTCGGCACCTTCTCACGTTGTAAAATCTTTTTGGTATGAATATTAAGGAAAGAAACGAAATTATGGGCTGAGTTTTCGAAGTACTTTCGAAAGTGGTTAATACAGTTATCTGATGAACAGCTGGTTTTTTTTTTCAAAGTAAATGCTGTCACGGGAAGCTAATGGCGGAACCTAAAGCTTGATTGATTTATTGATTTGTGGGGTTTAACGTCCCAAAACCACCATATGATTATGAGAGACGCCGTAGTCGAGGACTCTGGAAATTTTGACCTCTTGGGGTTCTTTAATGCACCCAAATCTGAGCACACGGGCCTACGACATTTCCGCCTCCATCGAAAATGCAGCCGCCGCAGCCGGGATTTGAACCCGCGACGTGCGGGTCAGCAGCCGAGTACCTTAGCCACTAGACCACTGCGGCGGGGGGAACCTAAAGCTGTATCAGTGCTTCGGCCAAGCACCCTTTTTACCTCGAAAGTGTTTTATGCCGGGGTCACCACGGCTGCGCTGATGTACTTCCGTCACGGAAGTGGCGGATGCAGTCAGAGATTGCAAAGAAAAGAAACCAGAAGGCAAGCAATTGCGCGCGGAATCGAACCAGCTACCTCTCGATTCTCAGCGGGCGGTGCTATCCACTGCGCCACGGAGCGTACGTTGTCGGGAATGCTAACGGCGAGCCATTTATATACACCAGACACCGTTTGGCAATCCTCAGAGCTTTGAAACTTCAGCGCGTTTTTTTATCAGTGACGAGCTGGCGCGACGGGCTCGCGTTGGGGGCGCTCTAAAGGTCCTCGCCTCCACGAAGCGCCGCCTTCACGGAGCGTGGTCTCTCCTGCGCGCCCGCTTATCAGACTCGTGATTTGGGAGAGGACGAAGGTCACTTACTGTGCTTGGCACTTGGCATGCCATGCGGCCGCGTTCACAGACACACGACGGAGGAAGAATGGTGACAGTTGTTCGCGCTTGTCATGTGTATACTTGTGCGCTCGTTTCGTGCGTTTTTCTTTGAACAGCGCGCTTTAAGTGTCTAGCTGTGACAGTTGTTAGTCCGTGCTCGTCCTGTGTGTGCTATAATCTCATGCGTGCTTTCTGCTTGAGGCGTGTGTTGCAAATTAACAGCTGCTTGCCGTTCATAACGTTACTTTGCGATTGGTTGCCGTCGCTGCGAGAATGTACGATAAATGCTAAACTACCTCTGTACAAAAATGCGTTTCACTTTCGTGTTGTACCGATTCCTATACAGGGGGATCAGCCATGTTTCTTTTTTTGTCATTCTTACGTTAACAGTATGAATCTGTCGGGCACTTCCGAACTAGCCATCTGCCAATTCAGCATAATGATGTAGTGTCACTTGTTAAATAATAATAATAATAATAATAATAATAATAATAATAATAATAATAATAATAATAATAATAATAATAATAATAATAATAATAATCTCTAGTTTGCCGCCGGTTTGAATGACAGTGGCATTATCCTCGCGTAGTTTTAGTGTTAATCTACACCGAAGTGGCGGAAAGTAAATGCTATTTGTGGCGAATCTGTTCTCATAACTTCTCTTGCCTGTCTATTAACACGTAGTGACGATTTTAACGCATGCTGCATGGCTTCTTTTTTTTTTTTCCACAGAAAAACGACACGGATGATGGAGAGTATACAATTTTCACGGGCGCCAATGGAATGGACAACTACGGCGAGGTGGACAAATTCAATGGGCTGAAGTGAGTATAAGAGTGAGTGATTATTTAGAGAAAAGCAGAGAGTTGACAAAAAAAAAAATTGACTCGACCCTATGCGAAGCATGCGGAAGGAAAGTGACTGTGTTGTAGTTATTAAAACGTAACGAAAGGACGCTTAAGATATGCACGATTGTTGTCCGCACAGTTCCGACTAGGTTTTAAATATATTTAACGGACTTTATTATAGCATTGCAGTCAACTTCAAAATATAGTTGTGGCAACACTGTGTTTTCATGCGCATGTGAATGCACACGTGTGTAGACTTGTGTGTGCTTTGAGCACACACAAGTCTCCATAATTCTTTTTTGATAGCACTCCATAAATTATTTTTGATAGTGAAAAATGTTTTTTACGTGATTGTGAATTCTTTACATTTTGTTTTGAGCGGTTCGCATATAGTACTCGACCATGGCGTAAAAAACGAACTAAAGAAATTAAATGCTAGCACTCTTCGTGCTTTGTTGAGATGCTACTCGTTTATATGGGATTTTAATAGAAGTCTTCAGGCTGCTAGTGGAACTGTTCCACACTACAAATAAATAAGAGTCGGTTAATAGTAATGTCAGCGGTTCTAAGCTTAATAACACTATGCGATTTTGAGAGACGCTGTAGTGGGGTACTCTGGAAATTTCGACTTCGTGGGTTTCTCGAACGGGCAACTAAATCGAAATTAATATTCGAGCGTCATCTTTTTTTGTATTTTTGTAGTCAAGTTTAACAAATTTCGCCATTTGTTTTGTTCCCCCAACGAATACCAGTCAGACGACCGCCTACCATGGCTACTGCAACATGATCAACGGAACAGGTACGCTGCTCTGACCTCGTGTTTTGGTAAATTGCTAAGAAATGCTTGTCGGGAGTTCGTATTAGCGAATAATAATAACTAAAACGGTCGAATCATCTAGCGAAATAACGATGCACCGCCCGTTCTGTTTTTGTTTTTATCTTATTCTCAGTTGGAGACATGTGGCCCCCACTTGCTTTGGAGAGCAGGGACAACATCACTCTGTTTGTCTCCGATTTTTGTAGGTGAGTATCGGAGAGCTTGACGCGGCGCTATAGTCTAAGGGTCTCAAACTTATCTGAGCCAGCGGGTCACAGAAATTAGTCCCGCAAGGGCCAAGTCAGGGAAGGATGTAAGGGTGGAGGGGGTGCAAGTGTCTGCACATTGGTAGTACACCAAAACATTTTTTGAAAAGAAAACCTTTCCCATACTTAACAATCGGGTTGAGAGAATAAATTGAGAGAAAGGGAGGGAGGTCTGTCGGAATTGTAGCATCTGGTTTGCTGTCCTGCACTAAGGTGAGGATTTAAAAAAGAGGAGAAGGAAACTGAAGAGAAAAACAGACGCGCGAAAACAAAAACGGGGGTGCTATGGTCTAGTCAACAGGCCACTACAGCGCGAATAGGCCACTACAACGAAATAATAAGGCATTGACTGATTTTCTCTGAGAAGACAGATCGTGTCGGCGTTCGAGCACTGACTATTCTGACAAGGGTCTCTCGTCAAGGCGGGCTAACGCAGCAGTCTGTGCGCGATGTTGCAATGGCAGTGACACACAATGTGCTCTATCGTTTCTTCGCTGCCGCAATGATCGCAAGCAGCACTGTCTTCCATGCCGATTTGGAAGGCAAAAAGTTTGGTGAAAGCGACAACAAGCCACAGTCGGCAAAGAACCATTGTCTCAAGTCGAGAAAGTCCGGATGGAGGCCGAAGTGGACGAGACGGGTCCAGCCTATAACTTGCTGTATTCCGCAGAAATTTTACGTATTCATCAACAACCCGCCGTATTTTCATGGAAAAATAAAATGGTAGCGCCTCTCAAGCCGCCGAAGTCGGCGAAAGCGAATACCTGACGGCAACGGTACCCTCTTTCTCGGCACAAGAAATACATTCGCATTTCCTCACGATTCCCTTCGGGGAGATAGGGACGTTTTTCGCCCACTTCAATTTCTTTTCGTGTACAGGTATGACGTATAACGCCCCCTATTTTTTGATTGACTTCATCGTTTGTTTCATTAGGTTTTATCTAACGAATAAACGAGCCCTTCGTCCATTCCCCTTCTTAATTCCGACGCTAGAAAAGGAACACTATTACGTGCTGCGGCGCACTGGGGAATGTCAGCTCAAGGTCTCGGAGCTCTGTACAAGGCACATAAGCGCTCTGCTCGCGAACACAAGCTGCGTGGCTTTGCAGCTGGCGCGCTATTCGGGCCAGCTGAGTCAATGCGCGTGACGTGTGCACTGTGTGTTTAGAAAAAGTTTATTCTACCGAGGGATGCAAACAACTCATGGAACGAGCGTCTATACAACAAGCACAATAACAGACAAATGACAGTGTTCGCGTTCGAGGCGCTGTACTTGCAAGCTGGCTCACTATGCTCGCTTATGCTTCAGAACTCACAGTCGGGGCCTGTTTAATACGCCGCGATGTATTTACTAGTGCAGAGTGCAACTGTGTTGAAGAGTATTTAGGCGAGTTTTAGTTACAACTTCTTATCGGGTATTTCACTATATAGTAAGTTAAGCACTGGCCTGACTAGCACTATTGTTGCTTTTAGGTACGTTGACATTAAAATGCAGATTTTATACGATGATAATTTGGTTGTATGCTCCATTAGTTGTGACATTTGAGGAGGTGCCGACTACTCTTCTGACACAATTCGTGCTTGTTCTTCCTTAAAAAATTATCATTGTGCATCTAATGAATCTCGTGGATGAACACTGATACCTCTTACGGGGATAATTATTTGAAACGCGTGAATACGTACAGTATAACAGAACGCGGCATAATCATTACGCACTTCGCGGCTCTCGGAAAGCGGGTGGAGGTGTGATGTCGCCGCTTCTGGAAGATTATGCTCAACTTGAATTTTGAGAATGGCATCGCAACGCGTTCCTGTATCAAGTAAAAGATCAAGATGCTTCAGCTGCGGTGCACTTGTATTATTCTACGTGCATTATAATCGCCCGTGTCTTTGTGCCAACACTGTCGTATTAGGTGTGGAACTGTCGCGCTTGAAAAAAAAAAATCACAGGATATCCACGGAGTGAATGATGATGAGTGGGACGAAGCGTCCGTCAGTCCGTCCGTGCTTCCGTCCGTCGGTTGGTTCTTGCTTCCGTCCATCCGCGCGACCATTCGTGCGTCAGTCCATGCGTCCATCGGTCTGTCCATCCGTCTGTACGTCCGTGCATCCGTCCGCGCGTCCATCTAGTGAACACTCCCAAGTACCGGCATCTCCCATCTCGCAACCTATGTGGCACATACCCGCTCTAGAGCGGGTATGTGCCACCGGTGGCTACATACATACATACATAACATACATACATACATACATACAACATACATACATACATACATACATACATACAATACATACACATACATACACACGCATACATACATCACATACATACATACATACATACATACATACATACATACATACATACATACATACTCATACATACATAACATACATACATGGTACATGCATACATACGTGCATACATACACACATACATACATACATACATACATACATACATACATACATACATACATACATACATACATACATACATACATACAGAGGAGCGACAGACCCATGCCATAAGGAGCTTCGCCCCTAAAAAATCCGTGGCACACACTTGAATGCTTGCCGCTGACCGCTTGTCTCCCGTATACCGTGCTGATGGTGCCCCCCCCCCCCCCCTGTGCCTCGATCTCGTGGCCATGTCGACATAGATGTCAAGGTCATTATTTCTTGTGAGCAATATTTAGATGTCGTATCTCGTAACCTTTGTTCTGCAGTGACTATTTCACTTCGCGGATATTTATGCAACTCGACGTGTGACGACAGGTCTATCCAGATGGACTTTCTGGGAGACGTGGAAACTCGCGGCGTGAAGCTTCGTCGTTACTTCGCCAGTCCTCGCATGTTCAACTACAGCTCAAGGAAAGCCGCTGCTTCTGCGATGACACGTGCCTTCCCAGCGGTGCCATCAACATATCCGCTTGCGCGCAAGGTGAGTGTGTGTGTAATTGACCTTTGCGACCTTATACCAGTGGGAGCAGGTGGTTTTATTATTACGATAACAATTATATCAACGGTCTCGGCTGGTTTTTCGCCGTATAGGTATACGTATATATACACATGAAAACTCAAGAAAGAAGAAGAAAGCCGCCTGCGCTCGGTGCCCAGCTCGTCACAATGCGCCGACGCGTGTTATCTCCCACGCGTACTTAGTTCCGCCAATTGGGGGGGGGGGGGGAGGTTAGATACTTGTGTATGCGCGCTTATCCTTCGGTTGGGAGAATCCTGTGCCTTCGGCTTTCACCGGAACGATTGCGTTAGTTGCCGGGCCCACAAAGGTCACTTCACTCGCTGCACAGGCCCCGTTTGCGAAAAGAGCGCGATTTTCATGCACAACGAAGTATGAAAACTGGGACACTTGTTAGTTTGCACTCATCTGTACGTGTGATTAGGTTTCGTGCGTCGGTTTTGTTTAAACAGCGCGTTAAGTGTCCAGCGGTAAACGTTGTTAGTTCGCTCTCGTCCTGCGTATGTTGTTTTCGTGCGTCATTTGTGCGGGAGCAGCGCGCTGCACGTTTCGACCTGCTTGCCGTTCTCAGCGTTACATTCCACGATGTTGCTATCGCATTCATTGTTTCGCCCTTGTGGCGAAAATGTGACTTTTTGTGACATCAATTGTAGTGGCACTATACGCCCTTTCCGCATGCAGTGCCAGAGCTCGATAGTATCCCATAAGGCCCTGCGTGGGCGCGGTACACTGGTCAATCGAAGAAAAGCGCGAAAAAGAAGGCATCATATTGATACAGAACAGCCGCCGCAGCCTTGTTTTATGAAAGAAAAAGACAATGACGGTTGCTGGTTGCTGTTGTACTGGTGCCGTCTTGTTCAACCAGTACTCCGATTAATAAAATGACCTACCCGTAACATTATTGGTGGAAGTGGATGACTCCCGTACCTCGATGGAGGCGCGCCGTGGTCGCAACACCGCAGGGACCCCTCGGCTATTTCGACTGCCAGTACCCCGCATCTCACCAATAATGTCACGGGTAGGTTATTTAATTGATCGGAGCATTGGTTGGACAAGACTGCACCAGTAAACAACAACCAGCAACCTTCGTCGTCTTTATCTTTCATGTGGCGGCTGTTCTGAATCAATATACAATGCATCATATATTTCGTAGCGAAAGCGCGGAATCGCGCCTCGCGTCAGAAAGAATGTCAATCAATGAGCGGGTGTTCTAAAGGCCTATACTCATTCCAAATCGCTGACATATTTAATCATCATCAGCAGCATAATCCCCCCAAAAGTGAACAGCTGCGCAGGTTCACGTGCTGCCCTATATACGGACGCGTAGTGGGCCTTCGCCAAAATCGCAGAAGGAATACAAGTGGCGCAGTGGGGAGTCACAACTGTGCTTGCAATAGACATTCAGCGATACTTTTAAACGCCCAATGTTACGCGCACAGTCGTTCGTTTCATCGCGGCACGAATGAGCTGTGCACCGAGAACTGAGGCAGGCGAGCAGTTCAGAAGGCGAGGCGCACGAGGCCCGAGTATACGCTATCGCGATCTACTCTTGAAGCGTCCTCGAACTTTAGTGATTGGTCGGTGCTTGTTGTTTCCCTACATTCTTGTTCATGTATGAGCGATTTTCTTCAGGCCTCACGGGCGCCGCCTTCTTAAGCTGTTAAATGAATGTTTTTTTTTAGTTCTTGTATAAAGCGAAGTGAGTTATTGAGGTGATCAAATGTAGCTTGCTCCAACCCATACGTTTTAGTGCTTATGCCTCTGACTTAGCACCGTCCGTTTGGTTGTTAAAACAGCAAAATTAATAGGTCAACAAGGCGGCGCCGAAGCACATTAGTAAAGCCGTAGTGTGAAAACCGAAAACTTGTGCTGAGACTCTGTATCACTTCGGACTTGGATGTGGAGAAATGATTTGTGCGTGTTCGAACCAATTAGGAGGAATGTGATTTGGCCGACTAAATTAACGATCATCGTCGTCCGCCGCGGTACCACGGTGGTACACGGGGCTCGGCTTCTTGCCCGAAGGTCGCGCGTTCGATCCCGATCGCCGCGATCGCATTTCGACGAAAACGAAATGATACTGGGACGTCGGAGCACACGGAACAACACCAAGTGTTCGAAATTTTCGCTGGCCTGCAATACGGTGCGCCTCCGAATCGTATCGCTCGTCTAGCTCTCAAAACTCCAGAAACCATTGATGATTCGATTGACGCTGTCTTCGCGTGATGGCAGTTAGTGAGGCTTGATGCGGCAAAGAGGCACTCTTGCGATAACTGTAAAAGTTCCCTGTGTCAGTGTATATACTTGTCGTCCAAGCACTCGCTACCTTACAGTACAATGGAGGGTTGTTATAAAATAAGAATATGCGACTCAAACTTGCCTGTTACTTATATTGTGTTTCAAGAAAATAAGATAGGTGTGTATTCATCGCGGAGTGTTGAGTAGATACCAATATATGTCGCTCACACTGACGAAGTAGCTTGATCGCTGTATACACTATTTCATCGTCGGGGTCTAGAGAGATAAGAGCTGATGTCAGTTGTGTTAACAAAAATATACGGCGTCTGCAAATTTTATGTTAAATATATCGTGACCAAAGAGTTGTGTGAACAAATTATTGACGATACAGGGCGATGTGCCATATCATACGAGTGGCAGAACAGTTTTAAAAGTAACACTGGCTGTTGTTTTTTAATTGACATGATGTGAGGGAGAAGGCGCCAACATAACATGCCGGTTAATCTGTTTTCTAAGAATGGATGGGGCATAAATATAATAAACAAACACAGTACGACATGAAAAAACAAAAAAACAAACGCTGTCAGCCGTGTGGGATCTGTTGTGTCTTTGATGAAAGATGTCGCCGCGCGCAGTCAACCACAACCGCAAGCAAGTACTGTATTTACCAGATTCCGACGCGCTCCTGACTTACATGACCGCAATACGAAAATAGCGCTATGAGGCAGTTTAGACGTCTGTACCCGAATCTAACGCGCATGCTACTTTATGTTGTTTTTTTTTTCGAAAAAAAAAATGTGTTCGTTGTAGTTGGGGTAAATACACTAGTGTCAGAATGGGTGCTGGCTGGCCAGGACGTGTAACGTTTCCTGGAGAAAAATGTATTACTCACACCCCAAAACCATTATTTTTCTTCGTCTTATATTCATCCTACAATGCATTCCTGTGCCGTGCTTTGTCGTTCACCTGCAGGATCCCCGGTCATCATCACCGCCCCCCACTACCTGCACGCTCATCCCATTTACCAGCAGGGCGTGAAGGGAATCATGCCGGACCCGAAGCAACATCAAATGTACTTAGACATAGAACCAGTGAGTGCACATTTTCGTCGCATTGAAGTTAGAGAACTTCAGACCAGATGTAAATGCAGTTCCGTTGGTTAGCTCGAATATCGGGTCCTCTTGACTGTTTTTTTTCTCTTATTTTCTTTCAGAAAATGGGCATTACTGTGAACGCGGCGGCGAAATTTCAAGTCAACGTTTGGATCGAAAACATTCCCGATATTCCGTAAGGACATTTTCAAATGATCGTGTCTCTTTGCAAACAGGCAAATGTTTCTGCACGCTCACGGTCATGAAATCGTGGCATGATTCAGATAAAGAAACATGAATGTATAATAATATTATATTCCATGAAAGCAGTTGCCAAGTGAATACACGTCGGAGTTTCATGCAATTACGCGTTTTCGCTCATCCTTTCCTTTTCTATAGATGACTTTATGCCTGTAAGTTTCAGCATATTTTAGTGTACTCCATTTTGTTTTACTTTTGCAGATTCTTCGAAGACATCCACGAACGGCGTTTCTATCCCGTGTTTTGGTTTGAGAACGTGAGTTTCCCGCTGTTCGTCGTTCTCGTGCTTTGTCGATTAGTACGTGGAGAAATACGCGATGTGGCAGCATTTGATTGCGATTAATTAGTTTACTTGTTAATATAGGGCAACGCGCCGGGGATGGTAACATAGGTCATAAAATACATCATGAGGGACGCAATGAGGCTTATTTTATTGCGAGAGCAGTTCCCGGGACGCTCCAACTGAAGTTCGCCGTCGCGATCGCCGTCGTGCTCCAAGTGCGATACGATCCATCCTGCCGCACTTAGATGAAAGATAGTTGACTCGAGGGTGTGAAGAACAAAAGGTATAAGTAGAGGATAAACCCCGTGTACGCGTAGAAAAACAATAGCTTATCGCGTACAAGGTATATACTGTGGAATTGTGCGAATGAGCGTACAATCCTCAAGCGTCGAGCAGGGGGATGATGGAATTGAGGTGAGTGTGCTGTATAGGTGGCAGAAGAGTAGGCGGGAGATAAGGGGTAGGTTGCCTAGTACGGGTGTGCGCGCCGTAACGGCGTAAAGTGAGCACGCTACCGCGCGCGCATCTCCACGCCCATCCTCTCCACATCCCTCGCGAACTCGACCTTTCGCACGTAATGGAGAGGTGCGAGTGCGTGCCACCTCCTCCAGCATGTCAATCCTTGCAGCGATAGTCGTAAAACGCGCTGCCCTATCTCGCAAATGATCTGCGTGGTTCACGTGGCTGAGCAAGCCGATGTGTCAGGTTAGTTGGTGTGTGCTGTGTCCGCGCAACTAACGTTCAATAACGTAATCTCGGAAGTGAGAGACGACGCAACGTGTTTGCTCACTTCTGTTTGCGACGCTCACTACGCCATCGCTGTGAAAGTCGGTATTTGCCAGTTTGCGCAGGACAGCACGCTTTTTATCGTCATATCAATTATACGTATACAGTCTAGGTTATTTTTTGCCGCCGCCGCCACCGTGACGCACCGTATATATATATATATAGGTATGAGATATGGCACAACGGGAGCGTTGTCAACAAGGATAAATATATTTATTTCCCAACAGTTTCGGGAGGTGTCCTCCCTTCATCAGGAAATGAGTTATACTGACATGAGCTTCCAAACTTCGTTGCTGCCGCGTCCCTCTCGCTTTGAAAAATGTTTGCGAGAGTGAGAGGGAACTAGAAAAAAAGGGGAAAAAACAAAAAAGGGGGAGAAAAAAGACGAAAAAGAAAAAGAAAGAAAATAAAGAAAGGTAACTTTCTCTCTCTCTCTCTCTCTCTCTCTCTCTCTATATATATATATATATATATATATATATATATATATATATATATATATATATATATATATATATATATATATATATATATATATATATATATATAATATATATATATATATATATATATATAATATATATATATATTCGAAGGTCGTAGGTTCGGTTCCTGCTTACAGTTGGTAATTTTTTCATCCACTTTTCTTTCTTCTTATTTACATTCCATTAATGTTAATAACTTCCCCTGTACATTCCTTGGCATTACTGTCTGTTATATCTCATTATTATTGTGTTAAAAACACGGAAAAACGAGCCCTTAGGTATACACTTCTTTCCCTTATTATATATATATATATATATATATATATATATATATATATATATATATATATATATATATATATATATGTGTGTGTGTGTGTGTGTGTGTGTGTGTGAAAAGTTCAGAAACAAAAGAAAAACGCCCGTGCTTGGCACCCAGCTCGTCGCAATGCGTACTTGCCGCCGCAGATGGGGGGGGGGGGGGGGTTAGGTGCTTGTGCGCACGCGCTTATCCTTCGGTGGGGAGAATCGCGCGCCTTCGGTTTTCACAGGAAAGGTTGCCTTTAGTTGCCGGGCACACAAAGATCACGTCTTTCGCTGGGCAGGCCCCGTTTGCGGAAAGAGCGCGCTTTTCAAACAGAGCGAACCTGTAACACTCGTTAGTTCGCACTTATATCTGTGTCTGTGATCACGTTTCGCGCATTGTTTTGTCATACAGTGCGTTAAGCTGTCAAGCTGTAAAGGTCGTTAGTTAGCCCTCGTCCTGTGTGTTGTTTCCGCACGCCGTTTGTGCGTGAGTAGAGCGATGCACGTTTCGATCTGCTAGCTTTTCTCAGCGTTACAGTCCAAGTTGTTGCTATCGCATTCATTTGTTTAGCGCTTGCGGCGAAACTGTGGCTTGTTTTAGATGCGAAGCTTCTTGTGATGGAATTCTATCCGGTGTGTGGCGTGACTACCCTTACTGTGCATGCGCGCCCCTCCTACCCTTTCCTCTACTACGCTCGCTCCCCCCTCTCTCTCCCATAGCCATCCCTCCCGATGGTGTTGACCAAAGAGGTTAATGATTTGTTTAAACCTCCTTGATGTTGACACCCCATTACGCATGCGCGACCGCTCCCCCTCACTCGCCTTGCAAGGCTGATGCAGGCATGCAGTGTCTGCTTGTCTGTGCTCGCTCCTCCCTATTTCGTCGCCGCGGCGTTTACACCCCCTTTGCGCATGCGTGTCCCCTCCTCCTCTCTCTGGGACTCGCTTGCTGGATTCTTTGCTGAGCGGTTGTGTCGCCCGCAATCTCCGACCCCAGCGTAGCTCTCGCCGATCGCCCGCCGTCCTCGACCTTCTGGCGCATGGTATTTTGGCTGCCTAATGTTGTTGATACGATAGCGCTGAAGATCGCGTACTGTAACACCATTTCAGTCGGCGGCTACGGAGGGAGCGGTTCGTCGCGCTTTGCGATGACAGCGATTTACGAGGATAAAATGGACAACAGACGCGTTCATGTATATTATCCTCTTGATTGTGCAATAACAGCGTTGTTTGCCGAGTAAAGACTGCGTGTCAACCCTCTTGGAGTTTACGAACGTCAGAAGCCCGCTCATGACCGATCGGTGCCACGATTTCTGCTTCTCGTCGTTGCCTTCGTGTCCCCTAAAAAAAATAACGTGAACGTCTCCAGAAAATTCTCCCCTCAGAGAAGGAAAACAACAAGGCCGACCAAATATGCACTGAAATTTGGGAAATAGTTTCTTGGCCTTGCGTTATTTTTCATCGCCATGTTTCTGCGCGGCCGGGCGCCTTTTTTTTTATACATATCTGAAGGCTGCAGCGCTCAAATTTGTGTCGTGGGCCTTCATTGCATGCAATGAAGGTTCTTTTCTTTTCCTTAAAAAAGAACATTTTTCTGTTAAGTCCCCAATAAATCAAACATTTATTGTATGGTGCCCGTGCGAAAACATGTTGGATGTGCTTGCGAAACCACGACTGAAATCGCACGAAAACGCACTACTTCGAGCAGTAACGCATGTGAAAAATGAAGCTCCATCCACGTAGCTTTGCCTGTGCTGCCACGAAAAGTTGTCGCCGAGTATAGTGCCGTGCACGAACATTATTCCTTTGTCATAGAAATGGCCGACAACGCTCTCTGCGATGCCTGTCATTGCGAAGAGACGCTACACCGCATCCTGTGCGACTGTCCGTTGTATGACATCCAGAGACAGCCACTGGTGTCCGTTGTTGCGCGCGTCGACAACAGCCAAATGTCTGTGGACACTATTCTTTCAAGTGCCCGAGAGAAGACATTGGAACAGAAGGCGACAAAAGCTCTGTTGAAATTCCTATATACGCGACACGGACTTGAACAAGCGGCTGTAACAGTTATGTCACACACCGCGAAAGACAAGACTGGACTATGACTGAGTGTGCGCGCGTGTGCTGCCGAATGTGCTGTGTTTACCTCTCTTCCCTCTCTGCTCTCTATCTTTCATCCCCCTCCCATGCGCAGGGTTACAAACCGGCTGCCTATAGGCTGGTTAACCTCCCTGCCGTTCTTTTCCTTTTATTTTCCTTCCTTCTTTCCTTACCCACTTGCTGTTGGAGGGCTGGTAATATGAACGGTGCTCATTGTAGCGTTTCCTTTGACACTGGATCGTACTGTACATACGTGTTATATATGTTCGTACAAGACTTATATTGTTGCCTTGTATCCTTAACGAGTCGTGGTTTATAATCGCAGCTTGCGTCGGCCGACAAGAACATGTTGTCCAGGTTGCGTCTCGTGACGGAAGAGCTTCCACAATATGTCACGGTTGGCGCTTTCGGCGCTGTCATCATCGGCGGCATCATTCTGCTGGCGACGCTGGTGTATGCCATCAGATACACGAAGAAGCCGGTGAGCATTCACGTTCATATTAATGTTTTTTTTCTGTTCGTATTCCTATGGTGCTCTTCCACAAGGTACATCATGGAGCAGGATGTATAACATGGGTGGGAAACATTAGTAAAAAGAAAAAATACGAATGTGCCAGTATGCTGGAGGTTTCAAGGCTTGCTTTACCGCAACCGTGATCGAGCGAGAGTAAAGTAGCTTGCGCATCCACGACGCTTCATGTGGCGTTTCGGAAAAAAAGGCACCCTTCTTTGTATCGAACTGACGTCACTTGCTTGGACGAAAACTCATGAGTGACTGATTTAGACGAGCACGCGCCATAAAGACGAGGATGGTGTGTTATTGACAAGGTACTCTCGAGATGGTAGTTGATGTTCCAAAAGAACTCTTGCACCTAATTCACCATGTGAGATGTGCGTTCTCTTTTGCTCATTTTGTAATCGTTCTTCAGTGGACAATCTTTGAGCAGGATGTGTGGTGTGACCATGAATTGTAAACAGAACCATATTTTTTTTCAGTGCGCATAGATCTTGAATCGTCACTAATATTAGCCGAGCATCGCGGTGATAAGCAGTAAAGCCGTCTCATGACGCTATAATCCAGTGGTGTTCGGCTTTCCTTAAAGTACTAATGGATATTTGTAGTACGCAGTGCCATGCTGCCGGGCCGTCGCAGTAACCGTTTCGATGATTAGATTTACAGAAAGTTGAACTGCTGGTTAAGAATTTATGATAGAAGGTATAATAGGCGTGCAAGCAGGGGCTCATGACAGGAGTCAGGACAACGCATGGATGTCCTGACCTCTGTTATGTCCTTGTTTGTACGCCTTCCATCGTTCATAACGTTCGTTCAATTGACTCGCGGCCAGTATCTTTATACGCCTTGTACAGTCTGTTTCACACTTCAGGGAAATCTCCTAGCGCGTCGGCAGCAGCTCGCGCGTGCGCAGGTGCTTGAGGGGCGAAGTGCTGAACGGTTGTACCGCGTCGTCGGCCACGGCGGCGCGCGCTGGCCGCATTGTCGGGAAGCGTGCGCATTTCATCGTTACTACGGAAACTATGCCGATATCGCTCATCGCATCACTGTACGCCTCACGGTGGTCCAAAGTGAGCGCCGTCATCGCTGCTACTGGGGACACGACGAGGTATTGAGTGGGAAGCTTCGCGCGTGAGTGCTGCCTTATGTAATTGATGCCATCGAGAAGAAGCACGTTCGTGCCGTTTTCTTAACCTGCGGCATTCCTGAACTCGTTCTGTTTGTTTTATTGTGTTGAACCCACATAGCGCCTCGCGATTCGCACTACAGTGCTTCGTTTTATCGCGGTAGCAATTATATGGACACTCTCAGCTGGATTTCGTCGCCGGCGTCGGCCATCATTCGCCGTATATATATATATATATATATATATATATATATATATATATATATATATATATATATATATATATATATATATATATATATATATATATATATATATATATATATATATATACACGCAAAAAGGAAAAAAATTAGAAAAAGACTGCGGTGCACAAAATCGAACGTCCAAACTCTTCCTTGCGAGTGCGTGGTGATTGCCACTGAACAACAAAGCAGCTCCTTCAACATCGAAACGTCAAGCTGTTTATATCTACCACTTAACACTGGCGATGCTCATCTGGCGAGAGCTATAGTGTTTTCATCATTATCAGAGAGATGGCGCAATGAGCGCGCGTCGCCAGACCGTCACGACGGGACGACAAGCGCTCATGTGCTGATCTCCCACGCGTATTTTACCCCGTGGTGGGTGGGGGTAGGGGTAGACGCTCACGTGTGCGCCCGTTTATCGCGCGGTGGGGAGGATCGTACGCCTTGGGCTTTCACCGGAACGATTCTGTTGTAGTTACCGGGTGCACAAAGGTCACTGCACTCGCTGCACAGTCTCCTCCGTTTGCGACAAGGGCGCGCTTTTCAGACAGAGCGAAGTAACAACTGAGACACTCATTCGCGTTCATCTGTACCTGTGAGTACGTTTCGTGCGTCATTTGTGTGTGAGAAACGCGGGGCACGTTTCGGTCTGCTTGCAGTTATTCGCGTGATAGTCCAATTTGTTGCTATCGTACTCATTGCTTCGCCTTTCTGGCAAAGCTTTGACTTTTTTTATATTAAGCGTGAAATAAACACCACCACGCGCGGTACGTGCTCATTATTGTCTTCCCCGTCGCAGCGTACTGCGGTGCACACACAAAAAATAAATATACGTGAACGCACTCAGTACCACAGCGTTTCGAATCAGTAAACAATGCATGCTGTCAAATTGCTGTCAACAAAAGTGGTCAACAAGTGCTGTCAGCAAAACTTGGATCAGTGCGGCATAAGAGGCATTGCGGACAAATTTCTCACGTCATACTTGCATCATCGCACTGAATTTGTCGTAATTGAAGGCAAACATTCCGCAACGAAGTTCATTGAAACAGGTGTCCTGCAGGGAAGCATCCTGGGACCATACTTTACGTTAATGAGATAGTTTATGTTGATGAATCAGCTCATTACATTATATATGATGACGATACGAGTTTTTTTTTAATCAAGCAGATGCAGCAGCGTAGATATCTAGGTAGTCGAGTAAATAGCTCACTGCCTAAAACTAACTCATGGGTCCAAGCAACTCCCTAAACTAAACATAAATAAAACAAAATCTTTCATTCCATCCTTACCACACGCAAGCTCACTTTGCCATCATTTCGTCAAATAACTCGGAAATTCAAGTTGTCAAAATAGTTGTCATTAGGCGTGTATTTTTCGCACAACATGACATGGGATGATAACTTAAACCACATTATTACTAAACTATCTGAGATAATCGGTGTTATGCGCCACCATTGCGACTACTTTCTTGTTTCTGTTATTATGCTCATATATAACTCGTTGTTTTCTTTTTTATTGAATTGTACCTTTCTTGTATGGTCTACAACGACAACTGTAAACGTTCAGAAACTTATCATCCTGCAAAAAAACAAAAAAAAACGTTGCGTCTTGTCTGTAAAGTACCATATCGCTCGTACACAGCAGAATTATTTAAAACACAGCATTATTCAGGTTGTATCAATACATGATTACAAACTAAGTCGTCTCTATAGGTTCGTTTCATTGAAATATAATGATACGATTGCAAGAATGGTTAGGTTATAGAAAAATTTCCATGCTTATAATGCGCGTCAGGAGGAAGTGTCGTGCGTATCGAAATGTAGAACGAAATACGGAAATAAAATGTTAAAGTTTTAGCTGCCTACTCTTCTAAACCGCTTAACTAGGGAGCATAACATTGACATATCTAGCATATCATCAAAACATCTGTGATTAGTGTTTATATAATGATGTTATCGGGCGACCATCTTTTCATGCCTGCATTGTAATCTTTTATTTATTTAGCCCCGCCGCGGTGGCCTAGTGGCTAAGGTACTCGGCTGCTGACCCGCAGGGCGCGGGTTCAAATCCCGGCTGCGGCGGCTGCATTTCCGATGGAGGCGGAAATGTTGTAGGCTCGTGTGCTCAGATTTGGGTGCACGTTAAAGAACCCCAGGTGGTCTAAATTTCCAGAGCCCTCCACTACGGCGTCTCTCATAATCATATAGTGGTTTTGGGACGTTAAACCCCACATATCAATCTTTTATTTATTTAAAGCACATTGTGAAACGTAGTCTTCTTTTATTTTGATTGTACCTAGCCGCACGTCTTCTGTGCTACTCTGTGTACTATACAGGGGGTCAGGGCTGCTCAAGCTTTTCTCACAGCTTTTACCTGCCATCCTCGTAACGTGTTGTAGTTGTGGAAGAAAATTTTCAATGTCAGTTTCAATACTGTTTCTAGGACCCCATTATCACCAACGAACGCTACAGTGATAGATTGCCATCGCGCAGCGTTTAGTACCGAATATCGGCCTGGTTTCCGCCGAAAGATGAAATCAGCAGGCTGCCCGACAATAGGGAGTTTCAGAATACTGTTTGCAAGCGTTGCGGCCGTAGCGGGCACCGTATGAGTTTTAAAATAGCGTTTGCCCTGCTGCAAACGCAACGCACGATCGCAGCGACACCGCAGCCTCAAAAGCAGCGCTTGCGGGCCACATGCGGGCCGCGATCGCCGCGCGCAGTTTCGGATTTTCTGCGTGCGGTCCGCGAACGCCGACTGCGTTACGACGCATGCGCAGTGGCAGCGACCGCACCGCAAGGGCTCGCGGTGCGCTTTTCTAAATCTCCCTATTGAAACCAGGGCGCGCCGCTGTTGCAGACGATGTGGTTCAACATCACTCTCCTCCAGCGCATGCGCGTGCTGCTGCCGGCGTGACTGAAGCGCCGCCCGCACCGCGATACCATGCGCTCCGAAATTTTCCCCAAGTGTGAAACAGACTGTAATATGTATGGACTGGATTCCCTTCGACACTGCCAATTTCACGAGCCTTCATCGCCCATGCGATTTCGATTGTACTTTCTAAATGCGACGCATGGGTCGCAGCTCCTGTACAAGCGCAACAAAGTGTAGTGGTAAGCAGCGTTCCTGTAAGTGTACGGGCTGTGTTGTCTGTAGCTCCTACCCCTTTTTCTCGTAGCCCAAGTAGAATATCGGAGAAGTTCACAAGATGGCTCACGTATGAATTCGGGAACAGTAAGTATAACGTCGTGCTTAAAAAAAAAAAAACGATGCCATCTTTCTGCCAGCCTTCTCAACGTCGCTTCTCGCTCGAACTTTCATCTTGAATGTTTGTTCCAAGAAATTTTTCTCACTTATAGTGGCTGCCGTCGCCAGTATGTACATTTACTCCTTTGAACTGTATTCTTCTAGACTGTCAATCTTGTATCACATCTTTGTCTCCTTCGCATACTTCATTTCTTACCGAGCCATGTACACGGACGTTTATTATTTTGTGGCCGTGAACTTGGCCAGAAGATGAAGATCACTGCGGCGATTTATATCACATGGACAGTGATGTGGTGCTAATTTTATATTGTTAGCCTAATTACATCTGTCAACTTAATTAGACTAACTATGAAGTTTGGACTGTTCCGAGTAACGAAAATTCGATGCAATCGACTTGCTATTGCCCATTTCATGGAGAAGGGAGAATTGCTGGTCGTTTTTACAGTGTTTGCCAGTGTCCGCCGCTAAAATTCTTGAGCGCTTTGCAAGAGAAATCAAATTTGAAGTTTTTTTCGGGGACTTGAGCTGAAGACCAATGAACTGTGCAGTAAAGACGTATCTAGACAAAGCGGTTTCTGGATTTTCGTTAATGTGGTTGACTGATCTGTTTCACGGGAGCGCGTTTCTTGTAAACCAGCACCTTCGTGAAAGAATATAAACAAACCCAGGCGTATCATCAGGAAGGTAGGTTCGGAGACTGCGGAAAGAAAGTCCTGTTTTTTTTTTTTTTTTTGTATGCATCCCCACCAATTAAGAACCGCCACTGAGACAAACGGAAATGGCTGAGACAGCGTGGACTTCCACTTTTTTTTCGCAATGAGAAGAACTACTACCACCAATATCGCACGTAACAATGTCACTGATAACGTCGCAACTTTTAGCAGTTAGAAGTTGGAGCTTTTTGGACCGGAACTGCCAACATTAGGCTTACAGCGTGACGAATCGACGACTTGAAAGAAGCCTGTGACGCACTGCCCTGCGCGATGTGTCGTCTTCTTTCTTGTCGTTGTGTAGATCGCTTCTAAGTCCACTGTCTAAGATTTCCAACAAGCCCAAGCCTCTAAACTTCTCAACTGTCAGCCGGTCAGTTTCTTAACAGCGTCACTTGAATACCGGTTCATTCGGAATAACACCCAACCACCCTATTTTCGTGCTCCAGATAAGCTTGCTGGTGTCTGAATGCCAAACACTTATTTTTCTTGGGGGACCATCACTCCTGCAAGCTTGGTCCACGACACGTTAATCTCCCAATACCTGAAAACTTTGGAAGGTAAAGAAAACGTAGGAGCAATGTTTGAGATTTGGCTAGTTGGTAACCCGTCTTCAAAAAAAAAAAAACGACAACACAGGAGCGTACTACGAACGAAGAAGAGAGCAAATACTTTGTTCCATTTCTTGTCCGTTGTCCACCCGCGCGCAGTTTGTTGAAGGCCATATAGAAGTCGGGTACATATGAATGTTAAAGGCGCATCGCAGAGAAAGAGCACATGCAAATGAACGTCCACCGTATTAGCCAACATTTCAGAATGCGTCAGTTAGTCGAGACCGGATGAACCGCTCGCTGTCCGCCTGCCAGGCACGCCCGTCCGGTCCGAGCGTGCATAGCGCGCAGTTCACGAGCGTCGCGTGCCAAGTGGCGGGCGTGCCGTTACAGAAATAACAGGCGACTCGTTGGGAGTAGAAAAGGCGTCGGAATGTGTGCGCCGAACACCCTTCCGCGAGACGGGGGTCCAATGTCTAGCGGAGCGCCGCCGGCGAGAGCGGAAATGTTCGAGACGAAGACGATGCCGTGTCTGGACCGAAGCTGTGTCTCGCCAGCTTGGTGGAGCGTGTTTATATGATCTGCTTAAAGAATGCATTCAAACCGGCATACATCAAACTCGTGAAAATACAAGCACATATGGGTTCGCCATATCGTTCTATTAGATATAAAGCCTAAAAAATTGCCGTATATTGAATGCAAATTTTTTGGTGCGCAAGGGTTTCTTCGCCGCGATACTAATTGCTTGACGATGCTGAAAAAAAAAGCTCTTACGTCAGAACTTTTTTTTTGCAGTATCTAATGATTCGCGCTTTGTAATTGTAAGCGCTGTTTTTATGCAGGAATGCATTATGCCCGGTAAAAATGGTATGGATGAAAATAGCGGCTCAAAATCCTCATACGCAGCTGTCTTACTCTCCGGGTGGCGGAAGCCCGCCTTGTCCTTAATGTCGGCCTTGTTCGGCGTCGTACTTGGCGCGTTTCTTGTGATGCTCTCCGCGTCGGCGTCATGATAAAGTTTCTTTCTCCATTTGGCACTTCATGGCAAGTGGTAGTTTTTAGTAGCTCTGAACGGCCCGCTCCTAATCACACCGCTCTGTCATATGCCCGAGAACACGGAGCCTGCGGGCAGGCTGCCTTCTGTGACGATAGGCCAGCGGTTTTGAGGAAAAGCCAACGTCTTGGGGCGTTTCTGCTGTGAGCTTGCGGGCAAGCTCCCTTCTGGAACGGAAGAACAGTGGCTTTGAGGAAAAGCCAACTTCTTGGAGCGCTACGGCACGAGGCTTGCGGGCAAGCTGCCTTCTGTGACGAAAAGCCAGTGGTTTTGAGGAAAAGCCAACTTCTCGGGCATTTTAGCGCTGCTTGATGTTCGACGTATCATGCATTGGCGTTAGGGCATCGGTGTATTCGAAAATAGTTTGTTGAAAAGGATGATTCGATTTGTTCAAGTTGAAATAGTCGCGTTTGACTGTATGAAGAAATCAGACAGTGATGCTTAAGAAACGACTGGATAATTGATCGTTATCTTCAATTTGCGATTCGTGAATAGCGAAAAAAAAAAACTTGCACTGAATTTTCCATAGGAAATTTTCTCTAAAGGCATTTTCTCAAACAGAGGTGTAGTACTGCGGATGTATTGCGCATAGGCATCGCCGGAATATTTGTAACAGGTGGGGCTAGAAGTCGTCAATCGTGCTTAATTTGCGTGCGTGCGTGCACATGCAAAATTGAAATGAGACCTCTCCTCGGCCCACTGACTACGCCAGTCGCTAATGTTTTATTTTCATTTTGTAAGGGGGGATGACCTCCATTACCCATTAGTTAGTCAAGGTTAATCGCTGCTGGTACATTGCGACTAAATACGGTAGGCTAGTTTCTCCGCCATGAATTTTCGCAGATCTTTATGAACCGCTCGAGTAGGTAAAAGACCTCTTGCAGTACGAGATTGGGAGAGATAGAGAGAAAGGAGGGGGTCACAACACAGCATGCAACGTGAAGTACGCGGCTTTCATTTCAATGGCTTTCCGAGGACCCCAGTTTGAGAACCACTATGGTGTACTTCACTGATCCACATACCCTTTTACTGGTTCTGTTAATTGGAGCGCTTTGTTTGAATTTTGATAGTATAGCTCATGCAGAACAAGATCTGTTCGCTGTGTTACATCTTCTGACTGTGTTTTCTCCAGCTTTTGTCTTGTAGATGAGAGCATGTGCTGCATGCACTGCTTGTGAAGTCGCATGCTTCAGGCATGCTTGCGAAAGTGCCGCGAACTCTCTGCACTGAGAAATTTTTTTTCGTTTCGCTGCTGTGCTTCAGCACCTCTCCCTCGTTTTTTCATAGCGCGCTGCAGATGTTCGCTTCAAGTTACACCTTCAAAAATATTGCATTCTGTGCTGTTTATGATATGTTCTGGACATCAGAAGCTGAAGAAAGTGTTTTACCTTGTGCGCGATGGAAGTTATATTTGAGATAAAATCAGATTCAGGTATGCCAAGAATGTCAATAAAACGTTTGTGAAAGTTACACCTTCAAAAATATTGCATTCTGTGCTGTTTATGATATGTTCTGGACATCAGAAGCTGAAGAAAGTGTTTTACCTTGTGCGCGATGGAAGTTATATTTGAGATAAAATCAGATTCAGGTATGCCAAGAATGTCAATAAAACGTTTGTGATTTTTGTACCTGCAGAATGACTCCTGTTCCGTTTTGACAAGCATATGCAAAAAATTTGACAAGTGCCTTCCACGAACGCAAAAAAAAAAAAAGAGGCTAATGTTCGGCATGTAGACAGGATGTTTGAAACGAGGCCAATGTTTCACATCAGTTATAATTCTTGTCATTTACCGGCAAATGATGAAATTGAACCTTAGGCTAGCATGGTCATCGAGATGCCAATTTAATTTCTTTGCGGTGCTTTATTATAATGGCCTCGGAGGTGAAGTTTTGGGGTTCTAGGCAGCGGAAATTTCGCTCGATTGCCGTTGAAAACTAGACAAGGATGCCTGCAGCTTTATTAGAAGCATCATATTGGATGTCGTTGGCATAACGTGTTGCTCTCCTTCTCTCCATACAGAAACCTGTGCAACCTACATACATTCCAGTGCGCGTGCTCAAGTGAGTGACAAGTGGCGACCTGTCTGCAAAGAACAACAAACGGCTCTTTTTAACGTCCACGGAAGGTCACCAGTCCGATCGCTCAGACCGTTCCTATATACAAGTCGTGCGGCTTGATACGAGAGCCAACCATGGGCACTACGGACTCTGTTCTCAAGCGACGGCTTCTTCTTCTTTCTTTTTTTTTGGACATTGTTCCGCAGGAGTGTCTCATTAAGCCCTCCGAACAATTTACACACACGCGCTACCAGCCTGTGATCACCAAGTCAGCATTCCCATAACATTTTTTGTTCCTTCTTGTTGGGAAAACATTCAACCCGTGCCAGGAGTGTTGTGAACGTTCTGTAGGCATGGGTCGGTGAGAGCCGAAGAACAATGACGAGAGTTCGGCTTCTTCGACAATCCTTTGTCAACGTGAGCGTGTCCAGGCTGCATCAGTGCCGACGATGGGCGTTGCGCCGGACGCACGCTCTTTGTCGTCACATCCGGCCGAAGGCAGGAACTTACGTCGGTGGAAAAGGTTAGCCAGTGGGAAGGCAGCAACGAAAGCTTGTTGGGGCGAGCTGGTTTGTGAATGCTCAAATACGTTGTTGTGAATTGTGTGTTTGTGTGTGTTTGTATGTATTCACATTTTTTATACCGAATCGCTGATGTTTGTTTTATCCTTAGCCATGGTGTATATCTTTCACAGTGGACATACTGTAGTGCGTAGATAAGCGGAGCGTTTTTTAACATCGGGGCAACGATGTGTGAATGTCTAGTCGATGTCGTTTGCTAAAGAAAAAAAAAACTGAGAGATAAGGGGTGTCGTCTGTTCTGATTATGTTTAAAATATTGAGTTGCTTCCCTTTTTTATTATGTTTGTGTGTGCGCGTAATGCTTTTGGCATTCCGCGGTTATTGTTGTGAGAAGCGTTGTTCCCTGCGTGGGCTCGTGTAGGCGGGCCATAGGTATTGGCTGCATGACCGATACACAAACTGAGATTCTTGTATTTGACTTGTCACTTAATGTTGAATGTATATGCTATCTTTTTGTTTTCCTTCTCGTGATATTTGCTTTTACGTTTTAAAAGGACCTTCTCTGTAGAGTGAAATTTTTTCCTCTTGAAAGATAAACAAATAAATGTAAACCTATGTCCAACCTAAAAAAAAAGGGGGGGGGGGGAAATCGTGCTATTACGATTCACGTACTTTTTATATTGAAGTAATGAGCGAAAACTAGTGAGTAAATTTGTGTCGTGCTACAGTGAAGCTTTTAGAGTTACTCGAGCACCCTAAGTTAACCTTTGCTTATACGGCAACACCTGCCATTTTAAATGGCAAACATGTTCTCGAATGCTCTAAGATAGATAGCACCTATTTTACATTGTAGTTATGTCCCCTGAATGCAAAACGATACTGCTGTTACTCGTATTTTCTTATGCAAAGCTACGTTTACACTAGGCACGCCGCAATCATCGGCTTACGTGAAACGCAACGTGAAGCATCGACAACTCCATTTGAGAATGAAAGCTTGCGCCTGCGGTTGTTTTTGCATGCTTCATGATTACTCTTAGTTATGGCATTTATCCTACGGGTATGAAGTGACACAGCAGCAACGAGTGCGCCTTTTCGTCTTTCTTTTTTCTACACTTAGAGCTTGAGTACCCAGCGATCAATTTATTATGCATCGAAGAAGTGTTAACGTGTGCTCAGGAGAACTTGTTGCTTGCTGTGGATCACGATGGCATTTTTTTTTCTTCATGAGTTCCCGTATTGTAGTACATTAATCTTGCCCGTCGCAGACGCGCCTCTCGTTTAGGCGGCAAGTGCTGCTTGGCTTACCTATCTATATCTTTTGCGTTCAAAATATCACCGGTATTGCAGACTAAACTGGGAACTGATTCCATATTGGGAAGAAATATTTTTTCATGTATCATAATTAATGGCAGATGAGGACCTTGCACTCGCAAAAGTGAATTCTTCATAGAATAAAAGGTGATTGTTGCGGCAAGTGGCATATAATCCTGAAGTACATATCATCGGTGAACCGCGGCCACTCATTGGCGTAGTACACCTGCACCAGAAAGGATTAGTGAACACGAGCCCACAACTACTTTATGAAAAATAAGGTCTCAATAAATTTTCAGAAGAATGTTGCAAGTTAGATCAGAAGTCTCTAGGGAAGGTTCAAAGATATCTGGAATTTTCTTTTGAGAAGCAATGCTAGCGCAAGCGGCTCGTATGAATAGGCGAGAGTATTTTACGGGCGACGCATATTTGTATGCATCGAGACAGAACTAGTAAGCGAGGGTTGAGAGTTATACCAGTGGTTTGGATGTCACGCAGTAAAGCTGAGAAAACTGTTTTGCTTCATGCCAGAACTTTTCTGTGCATTCATGTGTTAGTATACTCTTTTTTCGGGCAAACGTTGCATTTTAGCCATCCACGATCACGACGAACTTGACTAGCCCAGTTAAGTAGAAAATCCTACTTGGCTCACCGTTTCCATTGTTTTCACAACCAGTCATCCGCTATAGATATATCCGCTATACTTCGTACCGGAGCCTTGGTGTTCCACGCTTTTTCGTGAAGGCGACCCAGAACAACTTTAAGAATTCACTCTGTTACTCTTTTTTTTTTATCTGTAATGGAACAGGGTGTACATAGTTGCGGACAGTATCAGTTTCCACTAACAACCTAAATGGTACAGGTTGACAACAGCTTCCTCCAAACTATCCGCAACGAATCATTCGAACAATCCAACATGTGAGCTAAACGAACGCAGCGGAGCTTATCATCCTCATCCTCTCACATGAGCACACCAATAGCGGGGATAGCTTTCATTTAAGCCCGATAGTCCTACGATAACCGCAGTTTATTCGAAATCACCTATGGCGAAATGTTCCGCAACGACTTTTAATAAGCGCAATGCAACCCGTTGGGTCATATTGTTACGCAGCGCCAGCCTCTCGGTACATACAACTTAAAGCCTTCTTGCGGGCCTGTGCTCACCTTGAGCAAGAGCTTGTGTCTGACATTCAGCCCAGGCGGAGATTATTGCCAAAATTATTCGGACACCTTCCGTCAGGACGTGGTCTTGAACTTGAGCAACATTTTTGTTAAGCTATAGTGCATGTGCTCCGTGTATCTTGCCGCTAGATCCAATGCTTCCGGAGCAATTTTTGTGGTGAAGCCCTAGATTTTATGCTTTCAAGTAATATTCCAGTTCGTCGTTTTTTTTCTTCCTTAATATGTTCGTTACGCGTCTTTTTTTGTTTTTGTAAAGGTTTGACGCAGGCATACACGCATCCTATTCTACACGCATCTGAATCACTGTCATTATCATCTCAACAGTTCAGTGCACGCATCTAGTACGCGGTCTTCTACGAATCAGCGTCAATGTTTGCAAGAAGTCTTGATTATTTTGCGTGTGCGTTCTTTTTCAACAGTTATCTCGCTTTAGGTTTCCCGTCATGCGAGAGGGCGAGCGTTGTACGTGATTGCTGCGCGAAAATAGAGATTAACCCCGTCCAGAACCTCCAGATCTTATCGCGCGTCAGTAATTTGCCAAACTTTTATATACCAAGCAACATTCATGATCCATGTTATTCCGATGTTCCTCTTCTGCCAAGAAAGTTCCTGCGCATGTCTGTTGTGAACTTCGCATAACAAGACGGGAAATAAGCAATAAAAGCAGTTGCAAGCTGCAAATCGGGGTACTATGGGTAGCGTTGAAAATATACAACATTCATGATATGTGATTCATAAAAGCATCCCCACTGAAAATTCGATCTCAAAATTTAACAGTGCCTTGTCGCCCTTTTCCGGTTTACAACCCATCGTCACAGCCCGCATGCTAGAAGTCGCATTCTTAAATAAGCTTGTCCTTGTTATCATGTGTGGTTTTGTATTGTGCAACTTTGTATTGTTGATTGATTGATTGATTTGTGGGGTTTAACGTCCCAAAACCACCATTTGATTATGAGAGACGCCGTAGTGGAGGGCTCCGGAAATTTTGACCACCTGGGGTTCTTTAACGTGCACCCAAATCTGAAACTTTGTATTGTGCAGCTCGCATTTTTTAGCTCTGACCGATACATTTGCTGCTTGCCTTGCGTGTTTGTCTCCGCGAGTTTGCTGCCAAAACGTTAATATACATAGGTGCGAGGGGCATTCTTAACGCTATACTGCCACGTATAGCCGCATGCTAGTCCCATGCGTCGAAGTGTCCAATGACCAAGTGCCTCGGTGAGGTGAAACTCGTGTAAGTTGTGATCAGCGCGTGTCGTGTATTGGAGCATGCAATGAACCAGCCACATGCGAGCATGCCAGTTAGAGAAGTACTTTGACTGTCCTGCTGCTTATCTCGAACATATACTCTACTCTGTCTAATGGGATACAGTACCACGATGAAGGTACCTAAAGAGTTTTCCGAGCGGTGCCTTATCTTAAAACCGAATCTTCATTTATTTGAACTGTTCTCTCTTGCAGGGAAAAAAGCTGCTTTGACTCTATTTGGCACGTACCGTACTTTCGTGCAAGATATATTTACTTGTAGTGAATAAAGGTGTAGTTGTGTACATGATGTCTGTACATATGTAATACATATATCGGTGGCTTATACTTATGGCTTATTTTACCCAGAAGTTATTTTTTTTAGTAAAATGCACGATGTGTGCTCGTGCCCCTCTCGGTTACGGTGAGGAGCATGCGAAAGCTTCAATCGATGAGGGTGTTAATCATAACCCCCTTAATTTGACAAGAAGGTTAATACATGGAGCTTAAATTGTTTCAGTTATGCATATCGAATAGCGCAACGAGATATGTGCCATGAAGAGTCAATCATTTCCGGTGTATCTTGATTGTCTTTATCCCTAAAGTGGTAGCGGAAGCCCATGAATACACGAACACGGCTGTAAGCGAATGTCAGTCTTCCGTTAATGTGCATAATACTTGTTTTTTTCGCCCATTAAGTATTTTTATATGTCAAGTATATACACATGCATCTTGTCATTGGCACTGCCTCAGTGTGATGTCTGCTCTCGAGTAGAGCAGTTTTGTTACATCATTTGTGTGCTGTCTCGGACCTGAATTAAAACATGTGCTCAAGATTTCACCGTGCGTTTTTTTTTTCTTAGATCCTAAAAGTGCCATAAGTCTCTGTTGTAATAAGTCTATCAATTGTGGGAGGCGACCGCGTCTCCTCAGTCACGGCCTAGGGAAACTGTGGCTGCCACGTTTTAAAACGTCTAGCAGCGTCCAGCCGAGCCACCGGCACGCGAGGGTTGACTTGGAGTGCGAGGACACAACGACAACACAGGAGACAAGATACTGCGCTGACAACCCAGCACAGTGTATAGTGTTTTACATTATTGCACAGTGTGTCGTCCTTCTTGTAGTAGTAAGTGGTTTCTGAAGGAAAGGAAGAAGGAGCTAATTTCTGTCTGCCTTGTAGGAAATATGGGGTAAGCTTCTTGTATGGGACGGGCGTAAAAAATAGTAGGAGGAGAAAGATTTACAAGACGAAACACTCGCCGCACACGAATGAAGAAAAATGAGAGAAGAGATAGGAAAGATGGGCGACACGGTCGAAGGAGATCGCGGACGGCTCGCCGATCGGCGAGAGCTACGCTGGCGTCGGAGATCGCTGGTGACACAACCGTTGAGCACGGAACTCGGCAAGTCTTTATATGGTTTTGTCATTGTGTCCTCGTGGTGTATGACTACTCTATACGTGAATGCATGACGCGCTTCGTGCCCTCTCTCTATGGCAGCGTCCTTTTGGGGCCAATTATAGAACATACAGTATTTTCTTCACAAACGACATTCACGACGCCAGGTACAACTTCAGCGCGTATCGGTGCCGGCGGCTGTACACACTCTTTGAGTGGCGACGGCTCCCCCTTCTTAATGTGAACAGATTATTGAGGATGAGCGTCAAGAAAGTCAACTTACCATCTTGGCTCTGCGGAGGTGGTGTCCTACAAAGATGGAGAAAACCAGCACTAGAACTGCTGAGGTGAACGGCTTCGAAGGGGCATCTTTTTGATAAACGTGAAAGCATTAAATGGCGCATCAAGAGAGAATTGTCGCATTATGACATACCGTAATCATGGATGACCTTCTCGAGATAGCAAATATCGCGTCAAACGTTCTATAACGTGAGGCCACTACCTGATGATGTCATAAGACGTAGTGAGATAATGTGACCTGATGACGTGACGTGACGACGAGGATGTGACTGCGTGATGATGGGACCTGGCAACGTCACGTCAAACAGTACACTTACTTCTACTCGCTTCATCGCATTGTCTTCATGCCCGGCCCAAATCGTGTGTGTGTGTGCGCGCGCGCGTGTGTGTGTGTGTGTGTGTGTGTGTGTGTGTGTGTGTGTTCCCGCCGCGAAAAACACGACCAACTAGAAGCTACCAGCATCGCAGAAAAAAAAAGGCACCAGAATCCACTTAACGCTGATTGTTTAAGTTTGCACGTGTAGCATTGCTCAATGTTCAGGGATCCCAATATGATTCCGCTAACATGGTTCCGCTATTCGCTGCACCCATGACGACAAGCATTAGAGAAGGTAAATACTAAAGTAGGGTAGATATTTATACGTTTTCAGGTCTTCCGAGACCCCAAGTCACGATGAGACTTCAGACGCCTCGGTGCTTGACGTAGATAATAAATCTCTGTTACACTTAATGTCCGGTTTGTGGCATAACGGAACATGTATGACGTCACTATAACTGTAACCAATGCGGCTTTCGCAAACATGAAACTGGCATCCGGTCCTATACCACACCGCGTAATCGGTTCCACAAAACCGCATCTGACCCATCATATTACTATGTTGTTGACAAGGCACTGCCTCTGGTAATGTAGGAGTTGAACTTAAATCGGTCGATCAGGTAGCTTGCGAAACGCTATTCTAGTTATTACCAAATTGTAGGCATTCCAGTTCTTCGGCTACCGATGCATCGGTCACGCGGGTGCAGCGTATCAACTCTTGGTCTGGTAACGAGAAGCAAACAAAGACTAGTAAAATAAATCAAGAAATAATGCCAGGACTGTTGTGTTAGTTTCAGTACAATCGATGAACATGTACAAAGAAGCCGTAGCCGAGTGTGCTTGTTGTAGACTCAACACCGACCTTTAGAACACGTGGCTGGCGTGGCAAGACCCATCAGGAAGCATATAGCGCGTGTATTACATGGAGTCGTTTGTAGTGCGCGCGAATACTCGCTACGCGGCGCTATATATGTTCCATCATCTTAATATTCCGTTTAGCCGCAGCACGTAGAGATCTTCCCAATCGACGAGAAAGCGCCGTACCTCGTAAATAGCAGCGTCGACTGGTTCAGGTGTGGGTGCAGCTGCTTGACTAAGAGATGGCATGTTTTTCCTGCACTGCATGCACCTATACATGCGTTAGCGTAGCTGAAAAAGGAATGTTTTGCCGACGGGCCGTCCCTATGGATTGACAGCTTCTAATGACATATATACATCAGGGAAATGATGTACGAGTCATGCACTGCGTGCTGTCGGCGACAAAAATGCTAATGTAGGACACAAAGTTTGTGAAAAAGCTGTACGAACGCTTAGCCTGAGAACATTTCCAGGAATTGAAAGTTTGAGCCCGTAAGCTATTAAAGGTCACCATAATTTGTGTGGTCCATGCTGTCTGGCCTATTGGTTATGTGCCACCAGAATTCGCTAAACCTGGTCCACTAAAATGAATATGGCAGCAGTTAGTACAACATGAGGGAATGGGAAAGGCGGCGGCGGCGGCGAGAAGACCCCGGAGCGATGGAAAGCCCACGTCTACAAGCACGTGACAATAGATCTACGAGAGCGACGAACGCTTTTAGTTTCTGCGCGCGTTTCTGTCTCGGAAGTTTGGACGACCGCGTCGTGTTTGTGACTGTCTGTGGTTCAACTGGAACCTCCGCGCTGAGAATCAACTTAGAAGTAACCCAGCTTCACCTCTCTAAAGCTAGCAACGACCCAAAAGCAACCAAGACAGAGCCGTCATCACCTAGCCAAGGTTTATAGAAGCAATTTAGAAGCAAGCAGATTAGTCTTCAATATCGTCTAGTTTCGCTGTTTCAAAAATACCGCTCGCTTTGATTCTCTCGGTATGATCATGCCAAGGGCAGTTTTGACCAATTTATTTTCCAGCGTACACTTGTTCTCTCCATTTCCCCTTTGTATTTAGGGTCCATTTCTCACCCCCAAAGTGTAGGGTGGCAAACCACTTAACCTTTCCTATCTTTCAGCTCCCTCTCCGCACATATATGTGCTATATGCACCAAATCAGAAGCGCCATGTTTTAACATTGCAGCAATACTCACCTTCCGTGTAGCCAATGCCTTTTGTCTCCGGGGGTGCACCCGGCTAAAAAAAAAAATAAGAGACGGGATATAGACTTGTCGGTTCTACCTTATCGTATAGCTATGGGAACAATGGCTCAGAATGAAGCCGTACACAACAACGCTGCGCCTGCTCCCCACGACGGGGGCAAATACAAAGGGTTTGCGCAAGTGAACGTTTATACTATCACCTACTTTGTTTTGTGCTGTTACAACTGAGGACACGCAGACTTAAAAACCCAAAACACAGCGCTAACTTCTCACAATACATACGAGTAGCAGCTGGTAGATTTTTATTCATTGCCGGGAGTTAGTGGCTGTGTTTTATGAAATGTCTTTAAATGCCCTTCACTGTGTCCTCTCTTCTGTTTGGGCTACTACAAAGTAGAGAACGTCGTATAGATCAACGAATACATGCAGCACACTTTTAGAGTTTACTATGAGCCCACCACTATGTATTGCAAAAACCGTTCAAATAGTTGAACATTAGCCGTTAACATAGTTCTTCGTTATCAGCAATGTGTACCGATCGTAAAGCTTCGCTAGCGCCTCGTCTAATCATGTGAGGTATGGGTATCATTTCTTTTATCTCAGCTCTGAATTCTGTATGCGGAACTGGTGACGTACGTGAAAAACTCCTAGTCAACACATGACAGAGCACTGACTTTTATTGTGGATGTATATCTGGGAGAAAATTGATGAATTATCACAGGTAACCAAGTCGTGTATATAAGGTAGTGCGAATCGGGATAATTATTGTATTACGCGAAGCTGAATGCAGCAAGAAATATATCAATGATTAACACTCGATCTGCCTCATATATTGACTTAGTGAAGAGGGTAGGGGCGCTGCGATAACCTCCCCCCCCCCCTCCACCTGATAGGGATTGAACCCTCCACAAGCCATATCTTTGATTACAATGGATTACACTGAAAGTTCTAAAATGGGGCCAGCTATGCAGCGAGACAGACAGACAAAACGTTTTTCGTTGAATAGGCGTCCGTCATAGGTGAACGGTACGGCTTCAGCTCTCCCATAGTAGAGTACCTGAAAGTTCTATAAGGCGCCAGCTATAGGGAGTGTTTGACCAGAATATTTCTTTTTCTTTTTGGTTTATGAATCGATGCGTACACGTGACATAAGGCAGCTAGAACACATGCGAAGTTACGCTCACAGCTGGCGCCGTGGTACACATCGTGCAAGGGTATACAAAGAATAACAATTACGTGTTTCATGCACACCCCTTAGCAACTCGTGTTAGCTTCAAGGAACGGCCCTCGCACGAAACTAGCTTAAACTGTTGTAGACACCGTAAATGCCTTCTCGTCGTCCATGACACTGCCTACGCTTTCTTTTCTTGGGTGAACCGCATTACGCTAATAACGTCCCGTGCTGGATGAGCTTCTATGCCATTTGACCATCTCATGAGTGGATATCTGTTCTATAGAAGTACAACCACACTAATGATTACTCCACTGTCCAGATCAAACAAACATCAGCCGTCGCGGAGTGATAGGTATTTAGGAATGAGCCGCATTACTTCGATTAAGTTGCCCGGCGGTCCTCACGATGTGAGAGCACGCCACAGAGTTGACCGACACTGGAAACGCGTACTTCGGAGAGTGCGGCCCTCACCGCCGCCAGTATACTTCTCAACAGTGTCCCGCACATGTCGGCTGTTCGGCGGTTCACCGACAAGCCAGGCGAAGCCGCACGAGAAGATGACTGACGACGAAGGCGAGCAGGAGCAGAGCTTCGGCACGCTGAACCGCGAGTTCGCCGAACGCTGCACCGCGCACGGATTCAATCGCATCGCGTCCACTCGGCGACTGCGCCGCTTGCTGTGGGCCGTCATCGTGGTCGTGGCCGTGGGCGGATTCCTCTATCACATCAGCTTCCTGACCAGCAACTACTTCTCGTACCCGATCATGACGGCCACCGAAGAAGTGCACGCCGAAGAGCTGCACTTCCCAGCCATAACCGTGTGTAATCTGAACCTGCTCCGCAAGAGCAGCTTCGACGACTACCTCAAGGACATCGCGGTGAAGGCGGGCTACCCCACCACTGGTTTCGCGACGACCCCTTGGCCGGACTGGAGCAGTCCCGAGGGCGGCTCACGGGAAGACTCGGGACATGTTCTCGCGCACGTACGAAAGGTTACTCCAACAACTGGTGGAAACAGAGGCGGCTAGCGGAGATGAGGACGACGGTGAGCTGTGCTACAAGACGGTCGACGAGTTCCTAAAGAGCAGCCGTACCATGGACCTGAGCGACATGTGGATGAACTTCATCGCCACCAAGGACCAGCTGCAGTAAATTTGGCCACCAGGCCAACGACCTTGTCGTGCAGTGCACGTACAACGCACGCAACTGCTTTCGACGAGAGGTGAGCCTGTTTCTTTGCTTAGAGTTTCCTTTTAAGCCTTATAGTCATTAGTGACTTCGATAACATCATGGAAGCACACCAACTCTCCCGATTGTCTGTTCTGATTCCATACCATTACTCGTGTGCCGATACATTACCATGTGTCAACTTTAGAGGTTTCTAGAGTGTCCACATGCAGCTTCATGGAAACTGTCGCCTTCCTTTTTTTTTTTGTAATGTACGAAACTCCCTCATATTGTTATCATTCCGTTCATTCCATTCACTAAGGGCAGCCTCGGTACATCAGCGCTGAAAACGCCGATTCGGCGCTCTATTACGAGTTTTCCAGTGGAGCCCGCATCTCCCTTTTCTTTTCATTCTTTTTTAAGTACTCATGTGAAAAGAAGACGTAGTGTTATCAATCGAAATAACTTAAGCGGTAAGGAATGGCGTCAGTTGTTTGTCGCTGATCTAGTAATGGACTCATTTGCAGCCATTCCATCCTGCGTGTCGAACCGTACCCTTCACCTCGATACGGACTCTGCCAGACGATACGCTTGGCCAACGAATCTATGCGAAAAGTTCGGAAGACGGGCCCCACCTTAGGTAAGAGCTTTGGCGGGTATACGAGTCTGCTGTACACACATGACTGTCAACTTGCCAACTTAGATCCAAAACAAGAAAGAAGGGGATGACATTTCCCCAATATTTCAAAGCTTCACACCTGACCCCACACGCGCATTTACCTGTATTATTAGCGACGTTTTACTTTCACACGGTAACAAACAATATTGACCAACATGAACAGCAAACAGTGACACGGGACACTTCATTTTTAGATCGCTAGTTACTTCAGTGACTTTGAAAAATAAGGTACCCTTGCCAGTTTCACCTTCTTCCAGAATTACTGTACAGAAACTGGCTCTAAACAAGCTGAACCCTTGTGGCACTCCATTTAGTCGTTTATCTACTCCCTATAGAAGGTTCTGATGCTGGCGAGCGATATTTTGGTGAACAGGATTCGTATCGCGTAACTTTTGACGCGATATTACTGAAGGTGTAAGACTATCAATCCCAATCTTTGACATCACGCACGATTTAAGAGATTTGGCGGGGTAACATATATGCATGTCAAGTACCCCACAGTCGTATGTGATCTGACTAACTGTATATCTCGTGTTTCCCTGTTCAGATGTTTCTGCTGCTTTGCCAGGAGAGTTATGAAGACATTTTTTCACTTTTTTTTTCTTTTTTCGTCATTTGTAGCTAGGTATCTTGCTGTCGCAGTTCCTCTTGACATCAGCACCGCAGGTGACATCGTACTTGCATGCTAATTAATATTGTATGGCGCTTTGTGGTTATGCTCCACTTGCCTCTGTAAAGGTTTCTTTTTGTATGAAGGTCGCCGCACTACTCTCTTGTGATTTTTATTACAAATAAACAAATAACAGTAATATACCGCTCAAGGTCAAGGTCAATGAATTCGTACAGCATTATAGGGCATCCTTTATGCGAATAAACAACATGCATAAACGCAGTCTCTTTGAAAAAAAAGTGGGTCATTAAGGTAATTTAACTGAAGCACTAATTTATTTTGCTCCAGCTCGAGCATTGTGAAAGCGTTTGATGATTCACTACAAGACCGGTGAAGTTACCAATGTTCGGTGGGCTTCGAATTGCAAGATGTAAGCCGTTCAATATTCAGTAGCAATTCTACAATCGGGATCGTCAAGAAATATCACGTGCGGTACTTACATATACGGCGATCGCCGCATCCGCTATATATGTTCCAAATCAATCATCTGACAAAATTTATGTGCAAGTCAGCTTGTGAAAGTTGCATTATGTTCTTGGTTCGCGACCTTACCATGTCGGAAACTCGCACTGCGTGACGTTTGGCTGCGTCCATAACGTTTGTACAATGTACGAATGTAGCATAATATGAGTTTAGCCATGTAATGTAGGAATATAAAGGACATAATCGCAGGTACACATCGACCTTTATTGTTCGAGGGGTTGCAGAAAACTAATACACATCAATCACAATACGCTGAAATATAGACGTTTGTTTACATTACCGCTATTGTTTGGTTTCTAACGGTTCTTTCGAAGAAAGTGTTGGTGATGGAATTTTTCAAGGCTATACTTCATGGAGTGAGTCATGCTGGTGAAGTTACCTGTTCTTCCCTAGATGAGTGTGGTATGTCCCGGTTACGTTTCTCGCAGGAATGCGTTTAACACTGAACATCGAGCGCAGCGAGTACCTGGACATAATCTCGCCCGAGTTCGGAACTCGGATTCTGATTCATCCGCTCGGCACTCTGCCCAGCCTCGAACGCGGCGGCATAACACTCACTCCCGGAAGCAAGAGCTACATCAGCATCAGAATGGTACGAATCTTGCGCTTGCTTGCCGTCAAACTGACTTTCAATTCCTCTTCGATCCTGCATTTTTTTTTGTTCCCAATATGGACGGCAAACCAGATCAACGTCTGACTCTCCTTTGTAGTTTTTAGTATCATTGAAGTGAAGTGAAGTTTATCTCCTTTCATACAAAGGAGGAAGCCGGGGCTAAAGACTGGAGTGCCTGACAAAGGCCTCGGCTTATATGTACAGTCTGGCGATAGTTAACAAAACAATATAACTACATACATGACATAATAAATAGATAAGTCAGTTACACTTGCAAGTACAACAAAATAAACTGTTCTTAAGCATATATATATAGCAGTGGAAATTTTATACCGAACAGAGACCAGAGTCGAGTAAATATTTCTAAGTTTCCTTTTTAAACATTTCAGTTAAAATATCAAAATTAACATTTGTAGACATTTTATTTATAGCCACAGTCACCTCATAGGTTAATTTTTCTTGGCCATAGTTAGTACGCGTCTTAGCGAACCGCAGGCGTTGTTTTCGAAGATGGTATGTATCATTAGTCAAAGTAATTGCTTTGAGTATGTAAATGATTGAATTTAATATGCTGCAAAAGACAAAAAATAGACTTGATTCACTTTAATCAAGGCATAGTGACGAAACAATGGCGAAGTGGGAATATCCTGGGTACTGTCTCATCCCTGACTAAGGCTAGGGCGTCCTCGCTAAAGGCGAAGTGTCGATGGTTGTTCGAAGCGTGAAGATCTCTCCCGCTCGCGGAGTCAGCAATCGCTTCATCGAGTTGTCATCGGAATCTCTCCAACACTATTTCTTCTAAAGTGTCCCAGTCAGAGTTAGAATACACAAGTATACGATGACACGTACGTTGTCCCAATGTTATTGCCGTTACATTCGCTTAACTAGCAAGTATATTCGCATACCGTATACGTTTCGGCTCGTTTCATACAGACGTGGGAAACATGCTATACACTGTCCTGTCTCTGATTGTGACACAGAGGTGGAAAGGAATCCCGCTGCTAGTGTCCCCTCCTTTCTCACCTTGGCCAGCTACTCAGACACGTTCGTTCACTCTAGTAGTGACGGAGCGGCATGGCTTCCCCGTGTTCGGTATTCTATGCAGCGCAAGATCGAGAGGCTGCCCGAACCATATCGCGGATGCAGCAAGAGTTTCAACGACAGCAGGATCACGCCGTACCTCCGCGAAGTCGGCCTTGACGACCTGCTTCAGCGATCCATCTACACGTTTGACGTGAGTGAGCACTTCGCCATCTCATCTCTCTATTGTCAGTGAACAAAGGAAGATGCGCATTCATTTATTCGAGGGGCTAGTTTTATTTATTAGGCACAAACAAGTGAATCTACAGGAGAGTTAGGCCAGAAAAAGTGTAGTAGCCATCAAATGCTGTCCTTATCTGTAGTGTTTATAGAATTAAATTGGATCACTTGAACTGAAGTGGATAAAAAATTACCATTTCTATTGATGGGACACTGATCCCACAAGCTTTTCAAGGCATACTTATAGTTTAACGCTTACCTTGTCCACTTTAGACGCAGCAGGGTGTTTTTATATGTACGTATATGGCCGCACAAGTCTCTGTTGCGCCGCATAATACAGCCGAAACTATTTAGAATATTGTTTAAAAAAGCTAGTTAGAAATGTTGGTAGAACTTTTCACACTAGGTAAAAAATATATAAAACGCAGTTCAAATATCTGACAGTCTTATCAAGTGTTAGAGATATTCTACGTAGTGAGGCATGTAAATATAGGCAGTATCATTTGCAATAAGCATACCCCTGTTAATCGAATACTCGCACGATCGATTATCCAAGTATAGCCTCGAAGCGAGTTTTCACAACGACAGTGATCGCATAGGGTCAAAGTTCTGGATGTGAAAGAGCTTGCTACGTTGTATGTACACGAAGGCCTTCTGTTTTTAGTTTCTATTTATTTATTAGCATCTCGTGCGCTTTCTCTTCGGTATCGTCTAGGATTTATGATCGTCTGCGTTTCTTGCAGTTTTGCCAAACACTCTGTCGTGAAGCGGCACTGCTTCGTACGTGTGGTTGTCTCGACGAACTTTCGACTTCAGGACGGGTCTCTTGCGACCTATGCAACGTCACTCAGGGTAAATTCTGCTTAATATATGTCTCTGTTCGCACGTGACGCAAGCTTCAGAACGTCTGAAATCTTAAAAGTGTCAATAAATGAGAAACATGAGCTTGTGATCCTCCTCCGAGACATAGAGTCATGCAACCATGGCACATATTTACGCGATCACAAGTCAACCACGTTTAGTTACAAGAATTTGCTGCGACTTGGTGATTTGTAATGGTTTGTAATGGTTTCAGTAGAAATAAATTAGGGCAAGCCCTGATGGCCTCAAGCAATAGAGACTTGCATGCTTTTCACCTAAGGGTGCTTTAAAGACGTTGCGCCACGTTAAAATAGAGGAGAACCAAGAAAAGACAATACAAGGTCTCCAACGTGGCGTTATTTCTGTCTTTTCTTGGTTCTTTTTCAATTTAACACCTCACCGCATCTAATTTCAAGTAACGATGCACCAACTGGCCCAACCTATAGCGTACTTGAGGGTACCTTTCTTGTTGGAGACGTCTCCGTGAGGTGTTCCCAAGGATGCGATGGCTGTTGTCCGTCGTCATCTTAGGCGAATTTTGTCCATCGAGTTTCTCCCGAAGACGTCAAACATTTTTCTGATTACCGTGAAGAGGCGCGTGGGCACATCTCGATTGCTTATGGTGCACTATAGTACATAACGTATACCACATAACCACGTAGACGTGTACTAGCAGTTGACTATACCTCACCTAGTTTCGAGTTGGTCTTTCCGAGTGATGCATTCGAGCGAGCAGTTGATGTCCTACACTTGCTCACAGCTCGTTGCCGAACACGTTACCTGCGGTCCTACACGTCGTCCAGCGGAGGCCAGCAGTGCAAGGCGCTTTGCCTTCCCGAATGCGTGTAAGTCAATCGTAGCACTTGTTTATGTTTCACATTTTCGTGCTTACATACGATGGTGGTGTTATGCTGTAGACACGGTCTTCATTGAGAGAATATAGAGTTCGTATAGTTTCACAATCAGGCAGCGTGTCTCAGTGGTTTACCGGGTGAGTGCTTAATAAGATTAGGCTTTTATGAGTCCGCTGTGTTGCTTAAACTTCGGTTCCCACCGTGCGCAGGAATTTACGGGGCTGATACGGTCATTACAGAAATTTTCAAACAAGAATCCTACGTAAGTGATGATGATGTGTGTGGGCAGTATCTCGATACCACTAACGACGGCGCCGCTATTCATGCACTTTAGTTAGGTTATTATTTGCGTTACGAATGCACCGTGTCATGGCAGAGTGGCTCAACCTGAGAAAATGTCAGAATTGCAGTGTATATATACTTGAATGCGTGTCTGGTGCATATGGATAATATGAGGATATTTAAAGAGATAGAAATGTTATTTTTCAGTAGCAGTTGAATAATTGTCACCTCGAAGCGGTGAATCCAGTGAAAGGGTTCGAAGGCTAGTAAGCGATAGAAAGGACATTCTTCCAATGTCGAACAATGTTGAAGATGACAGCACGTACGGTAGAAATGTGGGCATTTACAAAAAACCCCATTCCGGCCGTGAGCAGCACTCATCTTTATTTTTCTTTTATTGTAGTTAATATAAGCGTATTTAAATACAAAATTAAAGAGTAAGTAAGCCGAGGCCACCTCTACAAGCACATGATAGTCTGTCTTACAAAGAAAAAAGTTTAAAGAAGGCAGTTTTCTCAAAACGTACTAATGGTGTGCATTTCAAAAGCAGAAGATGGCAGTCTGGTTAGAACTCTATGCGATATCTCGTACCGTCCTATGCCGCTCCAGGGACAATCTGCATCGCGTGCTGCAGATTGTCCATAGGACGGCATAGGACGGTACAGCGTAAGTATTACTTATACAAAAACAGTACGAAGAACGGTTCAGCATTTTGTGCTAATTTTCGCTTGTGTCATATTTGTCTTGGCTTTGTTGAGTTTCTTATCAGCTGATCAGTTCCATTGCGCTTCGTCATGGCACGGGCTGATTGGTTCTCCTATTATCTGTCGCTTTCCAGCAGCCTCACTCGCATATCAGGATATGCAGCTGACGCCGTGCGTTCTTCTACAGGGAAGTGCGGTACGACCTGACCACCTCCCAATCGGAGTGGCCCAACTTCCGGCAGCAGGCGTGGGCCGTCAAACGGTGGCCGCTGCTGAACAAAAGGTTACAGGACGCCGGCGTCCGCTGGCAGGAGGTGCTCAACACCACCGACGACCGAGTGTTCATGGACGATCTGATGGCCTTCAGGTGAGCCGGGTGCAATGAACTCCGGCTAGGAAGTGAAATTAATGCTGTGAGAAAACTAAGACTTCGCCCATATATGTAACGAAAGTGTGTAAGCAACAACTATGTAAGAGAAAGAAACAAAAGTATTTTAACTTTTGGTGGGGGGGGGGTGAGGGTGGGAGAGGGCGCGAGCACTAACTTGCCAAGTATATGACTTTCTTTCAAGAGACTCGTGAGCTCTCTTTGTAGGACTGTTATACTATCTTTAAATGGAGTCGTGAGGTCCTAAAGAGAGTAAACGTGTCTCTTTAAAGAAAGTCATGTACACAGCGAGTCAGGGTTTAGATAATTGTAACGCGTTCTCGTTTTATCTTTATTCTTTTGCGAGTGAGTCTTTTAAAGCAAGAGATAAAACGTCGGACGTCCGCAAAAAATCCTCCCTACTCTTGCTTATCACTTGCCCTTGCTTATCCAGCCGTGCCCACCGACGGAGACAGACCGCGAAAGTGCCGCGCAGTTTTTCCCGGCCTAGCGCGAGCCGACTACGAGCTATAGAGGGCCCGCGCTTCTACCGTGGGATTCTACTGCCAGCTTTGCACGGTGGTTCTGGCACTGTAGTTTCGACATCCTCGCATGATCTGTTACAGGCTGTGGTTGGACTCTGTCTATACGCAAGGAAGGACCTGGCATCAGCCAGAACGGCCACGCTAAGCCCTTAAATTATCAACTAGCTTCACTGTTTATTAAGCTTTATGCGTCTAGCGTAAACCTCATCCCCCCCCTTACTTTTTTTTTCTTTAGGTTGATGGAGGACATTGTTACGGAGCTGTACATGAGTAAAGCGAGGTTAATACTGACAGGGGTGCGTATGATGTACGCGCACCTGTCAGCAAAAGTGAATGGATGGGTTGCTTGGAACGTACGCGGAGCACGAAACAAAGCGTGAACGAGACGACACAGGAAAGTGGCATTAAATGTGCCCAATACTGTGTCCCTACATACGCTTAGAAAAGCAGTCGATAATTTTTCTAATTCAATAATGTTACTTTGAAAGTACGCCGTCACAGAAAGTACGCCGTCACAGCATATTCACTGCCCGAACTGGCTGAGCGACGAAGTCTTCATATGACCTTCTGATTGGCTCTACTGGTTCTGCTGACGATGCCCATTAACGTTATGGGCTGCAAGAAATTTAGAAGTTCTTTTTTTTTTCACCAACAGCATTTTTTCTGCTTTTTTATGACTGTGAAAAAACCTGTGTAATTCAACATAATTCGTTACATTCAAAATGACTAGCATACTTAGTTATCGTTTTCTTGTACCCTCCCCCTTTATTTCCCTCTCATTGTTGTTGTAGTTGTTGTTGTTGTTGGCTTACTGCCATTAAGAGAAAAGAGGCTGCAATCTGAAATTACCTGTGACCTACAATGCTGCAAATCAAAAATCTACAGAACATGCTCTGCTGTATGTCATGCGTAAGTTTTTTCGAAAAAGTTCAAGAAAACGGAGACAGGGTATAGCCAGTGCTATGCAGCTGCTAATTTATGCAGCAAGTGCCAGGGCCAGCCGGTGCCATACGCTACCATTTATCAATGGTAACACGATCTCAAAGCCAACACCTAGCTCCTATTTAGTATGCGATCAAGAAGTTTTTACTCCTCTAAAAGACAAGGAAACCGACTTCTAAATGATGGATGCCACTGTAGTGACACTTAAGCAAACATTGAGTGTTTTTTTTTTTTAACATCAGTATTGTTGGCGGCATCGCTCGAAGACTGTAAATCAGCGGGGCCATGATTTTGAACCACTTGAATATAGCTGCCTGAAAAAAATATATATTACTGAAAAGCACGAATCACTGTTTATATTTAGTGTCTGAAATTGTTTGTCTTTTACCATTACAGGAGCAATTTCATGAGGGTGCACATATACATTCAGGAAATGAACTACCTCTCAGTTCGCGACCTCCCCGCATACCCTGTAAGTCAATGCGCTTCTTTTATTTCTCTTTGTTGCACGCCGACGTATTGTGGGGTTTTGGTAGAGGCCGGGACAACCGGTACGGCCATAAGCAAGGCCACCGAGATGAATGCGTACATTGAGACGCCGCCTGTTATCAGTATCTCGTTAAATGGTCAGCCGTAAGGTCATGCCACTTGCGAGACAAAGACATAAAAAGGGGAAAAATCCCGTCCAATTATCAGTTGAAATTATCAGTTGAAATCTCATGGGGGAGCTAGTTAAGTAATGCGTGAGTAAAGAGCGTGAGTAAAGAGCGTGAGTAAAGAGCGTGAGTTGTTGGATAACTCGGCCTTCCCAGAAACTTTGTTCTTTGGTGTCATCGGCACGAAGCCTTCCTTACTTCCAGATTTTGTCAATGTCTTACTACCGCTAACAAGAAAAAAAAGGAGAAAGAAACATGGTTGATTCCTCTGTCTCAGAAATCGGTACAACGCGAACGTAAAACGTATCCTTACATAAAAAAAAAAGGCAGATCCCACATACAGTGGGAATCGATGATATGCGAAGCACGAATGAGGAAGGTTGATATGCCACTTTAAAATTAGCACAACGTTACGAGGTGGAGGTAAATTGTACCGTACATGGCTTCCATGTCATGATTATCATGTTCGAATGTGTCAGCTACCTTCGTCGTTCATTCACGTATCGTAATACCAAATTTGGTATATGTGGAACTAGTTAAACAGCCGCGAGCATGCTATGAGCATGACATGTAGTCATGTTGTTACATGACACGCATCTCATGATTATGAACTTTGCACAGTCACATACCTTCGTCTTCCATTCACGTCCCGTAATACCTAATTTGGTATATATGAAGCTAGCGAAACGGCTGTGAGCGCTTCGTGATCATGGAATGTAGTAATGTTTCACATGGCACGCATCTCATGATTATCGTGTTTGTACCAGTCACATACCTTCGTCATCCATTCACGTCCCGTATTACCAAATTTGGTATAATCGATGCTAGTGAAATGGCCGCGAGTGCATCATGAGTGTGGCATGTGATCATATTGTTACAGGACACGCATGTCATAATTTTCATGTTAGGTTCTGTCGCTTGTGTTCACCATGCAGTCATGTGATACCATACCAGTTTTGCAACATTTCATGTGAACAAAACCACCGCTAGAGCAGGAAGACCATGAAATGTAAATCATGACATCCATCACATACATGTTATGATTTCGATGTTATGACTAGTCACTTATGCTCGTCATACAGTAATGTTATGGCGTACCAATTGTAGTATCGATACCATTATGGAAAGGACCAGGATAGCTAAAAGTCGTAGGCGGCTAGATAGATAGATAGATAGATAGATAGATAGATAGATAGATAGATAGATAGATAGATAGATAGATAGATGGATAGATGGATAGATGGATAGATGGATAGATGGATAGATAGATAGATAGATAGATAGATAGATAGATAGATAGATAGATAGATAGATAGATAGATAGATAGATAGATAGATAGATAGATAGATAGATACGGTCTAAGTTGCCGAAGTTTGCTAATAAATGCTTCGTATTTATAGGATAGGATTAAAAGGTAAATTGATAGGGAGAGGAAGGAGGGAGCGAGACGCAGGGACAGCGAACGACAGAAAACGACGGAAGTAAGGAAGATATAGGAAAGGAAGACACGGTCGCAGGAGTGACGAGGACGGGGCACCACTCGGCGAGAGCTCTTGTCGGCGTCAGGATATGGCGTAGGGCGAGCCCAGTCGGCCAGAGGTGCGCTGTCGTCGGAGATCGCGGGGGACAACCGGTCGGCACGAAATTCAGAGAGCGAGTCCCTGCAACTTTTCTCGTGGTCAGTATAAGCGGTAAACGTGGTGTTATAGCCACGTGAGACAGGCGCGAGTTGCAGGGTTGCTTTGAATATGAATTAATGCCATGAGCCAGGCCAATTATTATGCAGAGGTTGCCATCTCGCGGCGTGTCAATTCACTGACAGAATCACACTTCTGTTCTAAACGCGCCAAATGGGACGCATTCGCAGAAACGACACGTTGCAGGAGCTTATCGCGGAGGCCACGGTCATGATGCTTATTTCAATTTCCCGCTCCCAGACGCCGACCCCACGCCGCTGTGAGAGGAAAGCGTTAGGTATAGGCGCGTTTCTAAACATTCCAGAATGTGTGAACCGTGGTGCAGTAGATAGCAAGCCCGGCATCTTTTGTCGAGGAACGGGGGGTCGTGAGTTCGGCTCCCGCTGATGAAACTTTTTTTCTTGCCATCTGGTCATGTTCATTTTCACGATGTCATTTCCGAGACTGAAATACGCCATTGAAGTCTTGATGGACCCTATAGCGTGAAACACTTGGCTGTGGCGGCTGCATTTTCGATGGCGGCGAAAATGCTGCAGACCCGTGTTTTCAGATTTGGGCGCACATTAATGAACCCCAGGTGGTCCAAATTTCCGGAGCCCTCCATTACGGCGTCGCTGGTTTTTGGGACGTTAAATCCCACATATCAATCAACCGTTATCTTCCGAGTTGAAAAACATTTCTTTGGGACAATAGTAGTTTCATTGGAATCACCATTTGAGATGTGCTCGGTGCGACAACTTAATCATATACTTGATCAGTAACTCTTTCTGACCACCTCGTATATTCTGGTATTGCAATAAAAGTGCACAAGTTTTTATGCGTTGAAACTAGTCTGTGATTGGTGGTTAGTCAAACTCATACTGGGCGTGGTGTACGGTGATACGGCGGCCAGGCACAAGCGCCGTACGCGGCGTAGCTTATGGCCCACCCGAATGCGCACTGTTGCGTTGCGCTGCGCGCATCTTCTTCGTCGCTTGCTCGAACTTCTCTTTTTAAAGAATGATCATGTTTTCAACATAACCTGCTAGGCAAAATCAGGTGGGGCAGCTACCTGCCTCGTAAGGCTTTATCCACCTGCAATGTACAACGTCCTCATCCTCTCGGGCTGCCCGAGAAACCAAAAAGATTCTTTTTTGTAACGTTTTACACAGCGACGGTGTGCCAGCTATAAGGGTGTTGGTTGCCCTTTTGCCATTTTGCTCTTGCAGCTGCCACAGCTGTTTGCTGACCTGGGCGGATGCTTGGGCCTCTACATTGGCGTGTCAGCCATCACCATATTCGAGTTCCTGGAGCACGTCGTTATTCTCGTGGTCCACGTGTGCGAGAAGTACTGCGGCTGCTGCAAGAAGAGGCGCGCCTCGCAGCGTCTCAAGGCCGAATGGACGTACCCGCCGGATGGAGGCGAGAAGGCCGCCGAGTACGGAGGCCAGCAGCAGCACAAGCCTTGGTCCTTCCTAATCCGAGACCGGGAGTATCCCGTGCTGGGCAGGCCTCCGTCGCGCTCACCCCTCTTCCGCACCTTGTACTCCAGCGCGAGGGATTACGCCGGAGCTCCCACAAAAAGGCCGCTTCATCTCGGTTACACCATTCCGCAGCACGTGGACAACGACGGCGGCTTTTTCGGCAGGCGTTACCAAACGTAAGCAGCAGTGCCAGACGGCTCAGTGGCATTGGGACTCGATATTTGTGACGCTCGGGAGTTCGTTCTAATTCTGGTCAGGTATTGAACCCTGTTTAGTATGACGACTAAGATAGTTCCCGATATAGAGTAAATTGAATTTCAAAATCTGATGAAACATTCGAGAAAGTCAGCATTGAATGCCGAATCGAGTGCACATGGAACGCGACTAGACGTCATATGTAGATGCAAACACTGCCATTTTTCGCCCTCATAACGAAGTTGTTTAGTAAGCTGCCTGTTTTGGCACACATCAATTCCTTTTTTCACTGTCAAGCAATCTTATAGCCTACTCTGTGCCATTGTCAACGTAGTAGTAGTAGTAGTAGTAGTAGTAGTAGTAGTAGTAGTAGTAGTAGTAGTAGTAGTAGTCGTGTTGGGCGTTACGCAAGTCATATCGCCCTGGAGAGGAGTGAATAAAAAAGCAAATCAGACGTAACTGATGATCGCTGGCTTGCAAGTTGCTTGTACCGAAAGTCATAATCATGATTGAGGCCTCACTGTCTGTTATTCTTAGCTTCAGGTCGTGTAACTGGATGATTTTTTTTTTGTCTTATTTCAGAAAGGAGGACTCTGTGCTGGCCAGGGTACGGAGCCATCACGACGAATCGACGGAACGTATCAGACCTCGTATTCTCTGACATTCTGTCACTCCGTGGAAATGAGCCGTCATGTAGGACACCTTCACTTCAGGAAACCATTTACACTAGCCCTTGATGTAGCAATTACAGAAGGCGATACACGGGCCTGAAGTTTGGCAACAAACACTCTCGTCATTGAAGTCCACACATAGCCTGTCTTTGTGGCATTGTCACCGCAATTCTTCCCTCGCCGTAGTTCTTCCACTTTCTGTTTTTACTAAGCAATTTCAGAGGTTGTCGATCATGCTTAAACTGTTCACCTCGGTCTTGCACATCAGCATTTGTTTAAACATGGAATAGAATGACAAAAAAAAAACTTTATTTCAGTCCTGCAGGCCGTTCGCAAAATTTTCCGCCCTTTAAGTATTGCAATTACCAGAGTCGTTCTTGTAATGTGACCAACTGGCGTTTGCATTGCGCATATACACTACACTACTTACCAATTTTCATTATTGGCAACACCTTAATCCTCATCGCATGAGCCACCAGCGAGTCGATTTTGTACAACGTGAGTGGCTGCGAGAACATGCACGCTAATCCGGCCCCTGGATTTGTAACCAATATGCTATGACACGCGACACGCGGTGGTCACCACCGATTCGTCTAGGAGGTAGATTACTTTTGGCTGATCACTTTTAGCGGACGCTGCTCGCCCATACCAGCAGCTCAGTTCTCACTGCTTAAAGTATACCCTGGACACATGGAAATGATCCCCTCATCCATGAGAAATCTCAATTAACTGTAGCGAACTAGCTGCCGCCTAGTGCAGCTGGGACCTATTACACGGCAAATGCTGTCCTTGGTTTTCGTCTGTGGAGAATAGTCCTGTGACACCCAGCTTCAAAAATTTTAAAATTTAGTATACGCATACTGGCTAATAAAATTCATTTCCTTTAAAAAAGCATCTCTTTTTGCATCGGCAACCCTGAGAGTGTTGCATCAAGTGCTCGACAATATTTCGTATAAGTCTGGGCTCAAAACCATGGGCTAAGCTACTTTGCGGTCGGTACGAAAGCCGAAAAAAAAAAATCCGTTGCTTGGTACAAATAATATCGCTCTGTTCGGTGTGGAGTTAGTTTCGAAGGACTGTTTCGTGTATCAGCATCTTTTTCATCAAATCATGTCAGTTGATTCGCTTTTGGGAAGACGTATCGGCCTCCGTTACAACCACTATAGAGCCTAAAACTACGCTGCCTTCGACCACCAACATGGGTGCCACCATGTTGTTGGCTTCGTTAGGGAGGCGGTAAACTTTAAATTGAGGAAACCACGGTTAGAAGGAGGCATAGGCGTATATGAGCCGGGGTGGGAGCAATGGGGCGCTAACATTTCCACTGATATAGATTACTCACCCCCCCCCCCCCCCAACACACACTTTCGACAGGGGTCACTGTTGGCTGCACGCTGGAAAAGCAACAACTAAAGTGAAGTTTTCTATTACCACTGTAATAACTCAACTATACGGTGTTACGATGGTATGGGAACGTTACGCGATAATGTTACAGTATAAGGAAATATTGCTAACATTGCTGCTGTCACAATTTTTCTTGTAGGCTCTTTAGTGTGTGGGCCACTTATGTTGTGCGAGCCACCTTTGCTGCGCGGGCCCCCTAAACTCTTTATGGGTCGGTCAAAGCACTTTCTGCTTCAGAAAAATTATTTTCGTTCATCGTAAAGAAATATCATCACTGCTGCTCTGTCGAAGCTGCTGTGAGCCGATGAGTGTAATGAATCTTTTTTAATGTTCTAATTTTGCCCTACTAGAAGCGCCATGAAAAGTTTCCGCTTTAGTCTCCGATCGACCTTATCCTTGCTTACGCTATAGCTTGGAGTGGTGACGGCAGCTTACAAAATGGCAACGAAAAAAGCCATGGGCTCTAGCACAATGGGAGGCTCGGTTTTTAAGCTTGACCCGCAATCTACCAGAGCAGAGACGCGGTGAAAAGGAGACCTAACTGTAGCGCGGTTTTTCCTGATCGCTTATCGCGTGGCTGCGTTCGATGCCATGAAGTCTAGACGGTGGGACGGCGCCACCGCTGGCACAGCGCATGTGTGTGGAGCGGTGCGCAATGACGAATGCGAACTGAGTTCGCCACTCACTTCCTTGGGTTTGTGTGCGCTGCGGGAAACCAGCGATGCCACTGAGCAGCATACCAGGTGTGCCGCGCGGTAAGTGCGACGAAACCACTTGTGAGTGTCGGCGCTGCGTCGTTCCTCGTTCACCAGACGACTCCACAGTAAGCGCCTTTCGTTTCGACCTCTGTCCGACGACTCAGGGCCGCATAAACCAGTTGGGTAAGTGGCCTTTGTTCTAGTACGCTTTAACGGCATGGGAGGCCGATCTTTCTCAGCTGTTGGAGTGGCCTCGTTTGTGAGGTTAGGGTTCTTGTCTGAGCAATATATATGTGAGGTTGAGTCGGCTTATTATTGGCGTATGACTGACCTATCGGTCGTGACACTGTGTTTCGACAGATATTTTGTCGATATATCAGCTATATATTTACATCAGCTCCTCCTTATATCCAAGGGATAGTGCTGCTGCACCACTGGTGTTGTCGTGCGCTATCTCCGAGAAGTAAGGCGATTATCGTTCGTTTTCCAAATTAATATCGCCTCTTCATGTACACTCGTGCGCTGCGATGATTGTGGGCTTATACGTGTATATATTTCTAAATGCGCACTCTTACAGTACATGGCTGTGACGAATAATAGTTTGAACCTGAGTTCCAGAGTGCTGCGCAAGCTTTCTGCACATGGGAATTGAGTCCCGCCCCGTATAAGATCGTGGCGCTACGCTTCGAACACGATTGAAAACGCCTAATATGTGGTTCTACAGAATTATCATATCACTGCAGGGCGTTTCAAGAAATGTGTACAATATTCTTTGAAAATCACAAAAAGGAGGTATCTGCGTACTATTTGCGGCATTGCCTTTCCTGTGTAAGAAGGCATATTCATATGAGTGCATATACGTTAATTACCGGGCAGTAATTATAGAACTTAACACAATTAACTTTTTAACTTGTGGTGATAGGCGGTCGAGTCAAATGGGTGAATTCAAGCCCTTCCTACCAATAGTCTATAGCCACTTTGAAACCTTCTCTTCTTTTTATCTCCTTTCTATTACCCTCCCTTTCCCCCACCCCAAGTGTAGGGTAGCCAACCAAGCCAAGCTTGGTTAACCTCCCTGCCTTTCTTCTCTATTTATCTCTCTCTCTTTCTCTCGGAAAAGTGGCCACTGGTGATGCCCGCGGAGCGATGAAATTAGCCTAATTTAGCCGGAGAAACTTAAACCGACGCACCAAACAGCGCATCTGCCATTCCATTTGACAACGCCCTCACTGACGAGACACTGTTAAGTGTGAATACACCTTATAAGCGACCCCAAACCATCCACCGCCGTCGGCGGCGTCCGCAGTCTTCTCTCTATCTTTAAAAGAAAGAGAACTTGGCGGGCCGCAGCGCGACGCTCTACCGACAAAGCCACGGACGCGACGCTGATATCGGTGTCAGTAACGCGCCTTCTACCCCCTCCCCCTTCGCTCGCTCCTCCGCTCTCCTCGCTCGCTGCAGCTGCGCGCGCACCCCTCTCTTTCGCGTGCCCGCCTTCTCTCTCAGTTCCCGTCGAGAGCGGGTCGCTGAGGGGGAGTAAAGTTAAAATCCGTTGGCATTCGCCAGTGAGTTAACAACGTAAACTCCCCCGTGTGATCAAATTGCGATTCCCAGGAACCATTACACCATAAAGGCACCATAGTGTGATTAATAAATATAATAGTGCGAAATTAATAAATACCCCTCATAGCATCACCCCGTGTATTTGCACTTAACCATGTTCACCCTCGGGGAAATTGGGAGTTTTTTCCCTCGCCGTTATCAACAGTCAGTTCGGACACTTCGCTTCGAGGCCGTTTATTGACGCTCGCTTATTCTTCTCCCGCAGTGAATTTAAAATTTTCTGCGTGCCATAAGATCACTTGTTCATTAGATTGCGTCAAAGTGTTCGTGTTCAATTTCTTAATTTTTTACGTGGGCTTGCATAAGTGGTCTTTACACGAAGGATCATTTTCGCGTCATTTGTTTCCTCACGTAACGAGCTGGTGCTGTGTGCATGACCCAGAATGTTCACACAAATCATATACAGCAAATGACCATTTCGGAAAGAAGCAACGGGGAATAGTTTAGCGTTTTAATTACACACCTCTTTTTTTTTTTTGAAGAAAAAATTTTGTTTCACCGCTTCCAATGGCGTACTTATGAAGGGTGCACTTTGCTGGCAGTGTCACAAGCCTCGAAGTGCTCGCATGATCGTAGCCTGGAGGTGATGAAGGTGCCTGGATGCTCCTTCAGAAATGTTTTTAATACAGGTGGGATGAGTGTGAACATTGTATTGCGCCCCTAACATTAGAAATTAAACATTTTTAAAAAGAAAGGGTTTGGCAAGCTGACAGTAACGGTTATATATCGATATTAATAATAATAATGAGCACGCGCCAGGAAACACTGTTTGGATTATTAAAAAACAAGGCAAATTATTATATACATGAGCCTGAATATAAGCAACAAATTGTTAATACTTATTATGGAAAAGAATAGAGCAGTCATAGATTGAATAAGCATGGTTGATCTCTGTATATCAAAACGCGCCTTTACAGAGGTAATTGAATGTTTAGTGTACATTGATGTATTGCCACATGGTCTGCTTGTGTGAGAACCAGGAGTGGAAAAGGACAAATGAGTATGATTGACCTGAGCCATGGCTGGGCTAGACGAGCGGCACGCGTGCTCTCTTACGACCTGCACTTCGAGTCTAGTTCCCACCTCTCACCGCCGCTAGTTTGTGGCGCTGCAGCCCAAACCCTCGCTAAACAATGCTAAAGCTACGGAGAGAAAAAAAAAAAACATTGCACAGCGAGTTTAACGGGGCAACCTTTTCTGGTCAGATAGTGCTCAAAGTGCGTCCTTCATTTACTAGTTTTTTTTTTTAGTAAGCCTCGATTCAC